GATGGCGAAGTGGATCCTGGATATGCGGCTTTTGAAGAAGCCATCATGGCTCAGCATGAGCACCTGGAAAGCATGATTGCAAGGGCACCACCAACTCTCCAAGCTTCGTTAAGGGACAAGTTTGGAATGACAATCCAGCCAAGAGCAAAACTCTCTCATGAGTTCAGCAATCCGTCCACCCATGAACAATCTCATTCAAGCACTCCACGTACTAACCAAACTCGTGCAAATGTTCATGCAGGAATTGATGGTGAAGGGGAAATGGGCATACCTCAAGGAGGAGAGTCATCCCAATGGAGGGATGCATCCGTCCAAGGAGAGGAGATCGCCAATTCCGCACCTCAATCATCCATGCAAAGGGAAGCACGGGGGAGGAATGATGAGTATCGGAGTGCAGTGCTTGGTGGAACGAGAAGTGGACAGATTGGGCATCAGGGTGACAGAAATGGTGAAGTGGGCGTGGAAGGTGTGGGATTTGCCTCCTACACTATTGGTGCTCCCCCACTACGACGACTTGCGACTAACTCTCATCCCATTGGAGTTCTTCCCATGCCCAGGTCTCACCTTCATGGCGACAACATCATCCCTCCACATGCACATCATCCACCAATCAGCGCACACTCTGTGGACAGCATGGGGCGGATGGGATACGGAATGCAGTCAAGTGGTGTCATGCGACGGGATCAAGTGGAAGTGCTGGAACGTCAACTTGGTGGACAGAATGGAGATATGCGGCGCACGGTACAGCTACCTCGACCGTCAACCATGCCTACTCTCTTCGACCCCGCACCACGTGAATATACGGACGAAGACAAGGAACGACTGTCACGCAAAATGGTGGGAGCAACGGTGGACAAGGCATTCACCACCACTCCGTTTGACGGCTCAAATTTCCGCGAATGGGCACTACGGTTTCGTATGAACGCCCGCGTCACGAATCTGTGGGAGTTCTTTGTGACCCTCCAGTATCCGGTTACCATGGGAGATGGTGACATTGACGACGCTATGGGGCGGCTGGAAATGCTACAAGCGGATTACTCCCAGCGTGCGGCACTCGCCTTTTGGGTCCTATTGCACAGCGTGAGCGCCACGATTCAACTACAGCTAGACATGTTCCAGGAATCCTACAGCCCGGCTTATGAAGCATGGGAGTATTTGATGGACACTTACCAGGCCAAAGATTCGGTGGCGAAGGTCTCTCTCTTGAAGCAGTTGGACAACCTGAAAATGGGGAACACCGAAAGGGTGGAGGAGTACGTCAACCGCGCAACAGCAATCCGGGACAAGTTAGCACTCGCGGGGAAGATGGTGGATGAAGATACCTTCACCTTAAATCTGCTCACCGGACTACCAGTGCATTGGGAGGAGATGAGGCACTCGGCAATGCTGCACAACGTGACGGACAGCTTCACTTTGCAGCGGATGATGATTCGGGAGCAGAGATATCACGATCTCATCACAAAGGATAACCGTGACCGGCGTCCACCTCGCATGGTTGGACAAGCACGTGGAGACTGCTCACCTTCTCCAACTGCAAAGGGCAATAACGGGAAGGAGGGGTCAATTGGGGAGAAAACGCATGGCAAGGATGGAGATGCAAGTCGCTCATCTCTCGTGTGTTGGTACTGCAAGGAGCCTGGCCACCCCTTCTTCAAGTGTACCAAGGCACCCCCTGGGTGGATACCACCAGGGTGGGAACCGCATACCCGCGGAAAGGCAAAACTGCACACCAGCGACAGCCGTTCGTCCTCCCCACGAAGGAGTTGCAGCCCCAAACGTGACAACAATGCATCAAAACAGCAAGGGGCAGCCGGGGAAGACAAACAACGTACTGTTACGTGCATTGCAATGATGGGATCGTCACAAGCTACCTTACCGCCAGCTAAAGCGTCATCTTGGATGCTGGATAGTGGATGCAGCCAGCACATGACTTCGGACAAGAGCTGGTTTGAAGAGTTAAGGGAGCTGGACGAACCTGTTTATGTGGAGCTTGCTAATGGGAGCGAGCTGAGCAGCAAGATGACAGGAACGATCAGAGCAACGGCACCTGATGGGACAACAGTTCGGTACACTGACGTCCTCTACGTACCTGGCTTGAAGAGTAACCTGCTCTCCTATTGTCAGCTGCTGAAAAAGGGAGCGCACATCAATACAATTGCTAATGGAGACACGGAGGTCACCATGAAAGATGGAGAGGAGTACGTGCGGATTGGATTTGCTAAGAACGTGGATGGAGTGCTCGTGGTGCAATATGCGCATGCACTTACATCCGCCCATGATCCTGGACATTCCCGTTATGACGCGTCATCGCATCAGGTTGATCGTGAGGGGGTTACCCTTTTCCGCACACCTGGTGTGCACATTGACGAACATGAGAGCACGGATTTCCGCACACCTGGGATGCAGTCGAGTGGCAAGTCTGCACATGCCTCTGTCACATACCGCCTGGCGCACAAAGCCTGCATCGTGCGGAATCCGGCACATGATGTTGATACGGATGAAGTCTCACCCCACTGTGTGGTGTGGACTTCAGGGGGAGGAGGCCACAGGTCCGTAGTGGATTCGGTTCCTGCATTCTCGACCATTGAAGGACATGAAGGCGAAGGAGCAGAATATGCAAAACAAGACTTACCTGGAGCTGATGTAGCTGATGAAGTCAGTGCAGTTGAAGGAAGCGGAGGTACAGCTGATGGCGTATCTGTGACTGGTGTTTCCATTTCGGAAGGCGTGGAAAATGATGATGTGGGAAATGAGGTGGACAAGCCAAGCAAGCAGCATCTCACCTGCCATTTGCTGGTTGGTCAAGGCAATCATCAAGTCAAGGATTCTGGTGTTGTACTCACCTGTGCGGCCACCTCGAACGGTGCGGCACAACATGGCATCACCTAACTCCACACTCACTCATGTGCTTGTAGCTGTGTACGCGGATCACTACAAGCACATGGGTGGCGGGAGGTGGGGTGTGGAGTATGTCTGGTGGAATAGGAGTGGGACATGGAGTCAAGAAGCATAAGGGGAAGACCTACTCACCAAGGGTTGTCAATAGGCAGGGGGAGCAGGCAGAATGGATGCAGCCGGTCGTCATCCGTCGTGCTGGAGCGGTATCGTACGACTGGTTACTGCTGATGAACGGCACAACCGCGAGGGAAGATCGGAGAATCTACATGGGAGAAAATATTTCTGCATACCTGGTGTGGACACTGTTGCATACCTGGTGTGCACATTTCTGCATACCTAGTGTGCACTACATACTTAAAGAGGACGTTTCTGCATGTATGGAGTACAGTTTTCTGGGATACTTGGAGTTCGTCGGCATGCGCAACCCTCGAGCTGATGAAGTTCGGCAACTCCGGCTACTACCGTGTATCGACTGGAGTGTATGGGGAGCATCACCGAACAACATAGGTGAAGTTTGAGCAAACTTGGCATGATTGCCAAAGCATGGGGAGAAAGGCCTACGAAGATGCAGCAAGCGCGGACACGAAAATGATGCAGCAGACGCGCAGCAGATCGACAGCTGCTGATGAACGACAAGTCGTCACTTCTATCGCGCGAAGTGTGCGCCCGCCAATGCAGTTCCGCGCCAGCCGTACGCCATGCGTTATCCGCTACCGATTTGCGACATCCGCAGCTGCACTCGTCGCAGACACGCATCCACTACGGTTTCGCGTCATCGCACAGGAGGCGTGCGAAAAAGACAGCTGCACTGACAATCACGTGTCGTAAAGTCTACGGTTTCAGAAATTCGGCGTGCGCTCAGGGCATTCTGCCATGACGATACGCGCATTCCGCCATGGTTTTGAGGAGATTACGCCATGGAGCTGCTACGATTTCCTCAGCATCAACCACTACTCTCTAGATCTCGATCTAGACTGAGGAGATTGGAAGGAGGGAATGGAAAACGTGAAGGCATGTGGTTTGGTTGGAGTTTGAAAGCACCAAAGGTTGGGAGGGGAAAGGTGCTACAGTGACAAGCAGCTTGGCCAACACCAAACCCTAACTTGGTTTGGGCGCACCCCTACCTAGTGGTGGTATACCACCTCGACCACCCCATCCTCCAAGGAAATCGGATTCACTAAAACCTACAGCAAGGGGGAGTGTTGGAAATCCGAATACAGTATAACGAATACTGTATACCAGTGTGCTGTTTGGTTTTAGTGTAGTCCTCTTTATAAGCTTCCAGGTCCTACAATTATTGTAGGGGCCAGAATTATTGGAGGTCAGCATTATTGGAGGGTAGAGGGTACAATTATTGGTACACCATTATTGGTGTGAATGGGTCATTCTGGAGGGGTAGCTGGATGCATATATACCCTGCTGTGTCACATCATTGAGCACTCATTGTGTCATCCTTTTACTTTTCAATGATCAATGCAAGATTTCTATCTTGTTCTTTTCTACAAACACGTTTCCGCTACGCTGGCACTATGCCTTTCTAGCACGAGGTTGACTCGATGCTTCGATTGGGACTGCTTCGCTTGGTGCCTTGGGTTTTGATACGACAGAAGCGTACTTAGGACTTATTGTTTCCAACAGATTAATTGTTGTGTATTCTACCAATTTTGTGTTACCAGGGTAATGCATCAATTCTGTGCAACCCCATGCATTAGGTTCCAATGTCTACTGCGCCAATTCCATGACAAATTACATCTTGCGAAGAACTGCTGGTGTAAGCTTTGATATCTCCCCATCACCATGCTTTACTACCGTAATCCTTACGCCTTCTCTCTCCTGTTTAGTGTCCGAGTACTGGCACCTTCCCCACGCTCCCCCCTGCTGTAGCCCGACATCAATGTAGGACATACAGTGCTGCTGGAAAAGTTGGGTCGGCCCAAAAGCACTCTGCATGTCAGAACCCTTATAGCACCACCAAGAATAGTCCGCTCTGCTCGCACACGTTTGGTTGCCAGCACACCTTCACATTCCCAACTGCTTTCCTTCCTGCATGCCCCAACCCTAAACCCTAAACAACAGCTGCTGCTGGTGCTGCAGCCGTGGTGCTACCTCTGCAGCAGTTCTTTCTCAAACTCTCGCATCTGCCCCTGTAGCAGCGGCAGCACCAGGCGCTTCACTTCCTTCTGAGCATGTGATACTTCTGAGTCTGTCAGCTTACCCTTCCCCTGCTCCACCTTGATCTCGGGCTGACGCACCAAGAAGCAGGGTGACGAGCGCGTGTGAGCGTGAGGGGAGGAGCGGGTGGGGGAGAGGAGGGGAAACAAAGAGGGAGGGAAAGGGGAGGAGGGAGAAAGAGGGGAGAACATTGAGATTCTAAGATGGGGATTCTGTAGGATGACAAGGAAACTCTCTCGATTCTCGGGACCCACCTTGCAATCTCATAGTAAACCAAGTGATGGAAGGTAGGTGAAGTAAGGAGACTAGCAAGTCAACGCAGAATGCAGAGTGCATGACAGGACTTCACACCAGCGGAAGGCTGGCTAACCGTGTGGAATATTGGAGGCAGAGAGAGAGAGAGAGAGAGAGAGAGAGAGAGAGAGAGAGAGAGAGAGAGAGAGAGAGAGAGAGAGAGAGAGAGAGAGAGAGAGCGGAGGATGATGGCTACACGCGAGCACGCTCGGAGGGGCATGCAGCATATGATAGGCTTTTCACAGCAAAAAAAAATGGCTGCAGGGCGGAGACGGGCAGGGTTGGCGCGGGAAGGCCGATGTCTAGGAGACAAAGGCAAGATAGGAGTAGGAAAGGCTGCAGGGAATGTTTGCAGGGAAGTAAAGTGGGCAACCCTGCGTGTGTACGCACCTCCCAGTCGTCCACTTCTCCGAACGTGGCGTCATGCACTGTGAGAGTGCCAGTCACCTCCTTGGCGTCTGCTATAGTGCTGCTGGCTGCTCGGAGACAGGGGGGTGTGAGGAGAGCCGTGAGAGAGCGAAGGGGGAGAGTAGGGGAGAGGGGGAGTTGGAGTGAGAAAAGCGAGGAAAGATTGAAAAGCATGGGAAGAAAAGAGGGGGCTTGGGGAGAAAAGAGGGGGGGGGAAGTGCACATGATAGATGAACATGGCACTTGTGGTGGTAGAACAAGGCGACGGGGACGTGTGACACGGTGTGGGGGAAGTGCAGGCTACCTGATATCTTAACGTTGATGTCTAGAATGTAACCGTGCCTCCTCTTATTGCGCACCACGACGATCGTCGTCTGCCATGGAAAAAGGAGGGAGGGAGAGACAGAGAGAGAGAGAGAGAGAGAGAAAGAGAGAGAGAGAGAGAGAGAGAGAGAGAGAGAGAGAGAGAGAGAGAGAGAGAGAGAGAGAGAGAGAGAGAGAGAGAGAGACCATATAGCTAGACTGCATGCTAGATTGCCTTAGTCTTATAAGCTGTGAATGTACCCTACACACTATCAATGAAGGACCGCTTGAGAGATACAGATAGATAGAGAGAGAGAGAGAGAGAGAGGGAGAGAGAGAGAGAGAGAGAGAGAGGGAGAGAGAGAGAGAGAGAGAGGGAGAGAGAGTGTGTGTGTGTGTGTTTGTGTGTGAGAGAGAGAGATGAAAGGAGTCTGAAAGTGAGTGCATATGGCTGGAACAAAAGGCTGGGAGAAAGGCGGAAAGGCGGGGAGAAGAGTGGGACGGGGGACGAAAGGGTGCGGTGTTACACAAGTGAGATGGCTGGAACACTTGTGAGAGTTCTCACAGTAGCTCAGTCAAGTCTATCTTACGAACAGATGCGTGTGAACCCTTATGAGGCACGGCAAGGAGGGAGATGCACAAAAGGGGCGAGGGTAAGGGAGTAGGGCTTACATCGCCAGAGCAGGAATCCACTTCCGTGGTGAGGGTGTAGGTGGTCGAGCCGATGACGGCTGGACTGGAGCAACGCAGCAGCTCCTGCAAGGCGGCGTGGGCACAGTAGTGGGCACGAGCACAGTAATGAGGCAGACAGGCAGATGCGGCACAGTGGGAACAGGCGGCGTCAAGCAGAGCGGGCAGTGTGGGTGTGAGGAGACCACAACAGAGAGTGACTGAGGGTGAAAGGAGAATTGAGAGAAAACCAAGGGACGTGAAATCAACAGGCACAGTCAGGTGAATATGCATGACTCGAGTTTCTCCACCAACCAAAGCCCATCGCAAGTTCATCCCCTCTCTCCCAATCGTCACATTCTTCTCCTTGAATTTTCGGTTTCAAATTCACATAAGATCCATAATTCAAGATTTAAGACAAGCATCTTCCTCAAGAGCGCGGGACCATTGACTCCACCTCGTCCCGGCCCCTTATTGACGAACCTTCAGTCGTTGCTTCGCCCAGTCGTTTAGAGACCTCTCCTCCCACGTGCCACCCTGCAGCAAGTAGGAGCATGGAGGCGGGATGGTTGGCCGGGATTGTGAGCGGGAACTGAGCGTGGGATTGTGAGCGTGGTACTGTGAGCGCGAGATTGTGGGAGAAGGATTGTGAGAGCGAAAGTGTGAGAGCTTGGTTCAGGGCAACTGACGACCGACGAACTCGAGACACAACTCCTCGTGACGGAATGCGATCTTGTAGCGCCCTGGAACCAGGCAATTGTCAAACCGAACGTGCACTTTCACACCAGGACTCGGACTCACTCTCACGTCGAGATTTAATCCATGAGTTATATGAGATCACGCTTCAACTCTTCCAACCAGCATGCACTCTTCGACATTTGAAGACACAGAATTACTTCTGGATTCACCAATTCGCGAATAAAAGATAGTACTTCACCTCATCGTAGCTTTCAGTAGACAAATGTCCTGCAGGTTGATCCAACCCAAACACACTCATATTCCTTAAAAAACGAGACAGATCCATTGTGTGCTATTCCTCCGTCATTTTCACCTCGCCTTTGCTTCGAATCGTCCTCACTCACTTGGTTCCAGGCGGATCCCTTGGAGTCGTTGCGTTGTAGGCTCGCAAGTTCTTCTTGACTTAATCTCCTCGGCATCGGCGGCGGAGCTGCCATCTCGCCATTCCCCCGCGGGCCCACCCAGTAGCGATACGACAAGGAGGGGTCCTTGGGTATCGCGGCGTCCGTATTCTCTGACATATTCGCCGCAACTGGGATGCACGCGGCTCCTACGCTGCAATCCCGATCTCTGATGATAATTGACCGGAGATCGTTATGGTTGAGTATGAAGCGCTTCTACCCCACCAGAAGACCACCAAGCTATTACATCAGGCAGCACAAACACGGCTTTTCGGAAGACAGACACTCGCGAAATACGAGCATACGAGCCCGAGGTATCTAAGCTGTCTGCGCTGTCAAGAAACTGACGCTCCTGCAAATCTGATACAGAACAGAGGAATCGTTGGTGGTGGCGTAAGTGAAGCGAGTGAGAATCTCGAGGTGGACCAAAAATCAAGGCGTGCATTTTACGGGGTGGTGCAGGTCTGGTGGATGGGAGCCATGAGCCACGACGAACCGAACCTAGAGCTCTCGTTTGGGATCCAATAGTTTTGTTTGCGACTATGCGTAACTTTCTCGAGGCTCCGCGAAGATCTTGAGGACATATGCGTAAAGAAACCATTGGCTAGGATTTGCCTAGCTTCCTAAGCGAAGCCTCCAGAAGTTCACAACCCATCACCAACCATTCAGGGTCAACCCACTATGCACCCGTGATTATTCCTGATAAAGGGTACAAGACTTGAGGTTACTATGTTTTGGCTGCAGCGTGACATGTTTCTCAAAGGCTGCTAATTTTCACGTACCCTAAAGTAAATTGAACGAGTAGCTGATATCTATGCCCGCACCTTTCTTTCAGAATTATTTGGTTAACCATCTCCTGATCAACATACCTGCACCGCATCCGTTGCTCCATATCAAAACAACAGGGTTATCATTTGCATAGAACGTATCGAACAAAATATATGGTACGCTGTTTCAAACAACAAGAATTTCGTCATTTTACTTCCAGGTACCAGATCTAGGGTGGTAAAACAGCTAGCCAAGACATATTACATGGTACGTTCACTGGTAACATGAAAGCTGAGATCAGCACTACATACACCAATCTATCTGATACACCTCTGTACCGTAACCAACCCAGGCTGAAACACATGCAGTCTCCAAAGTTTCAACAAGGTATGGCGGCTTGTGCTGGGTTTCATCTGGAACAAACTCAGACTCCACCTGCGCGGCATGGGAGCAACTGATGCACCTATGTGAACATGCATATGCACACAGCATTGGATGAAACTGTAAAATCCGTGCGGGAAATCAGCACCAGCGCATGGCAATCAACTGCAAGAGTCATGAGACATCATGGTACCATAAAAAGCTTCTAAGTGTAATGGCCCACACACGGTCCCTCTCCCCACCACCCTGAGTGGGGCACCACAAGGGGCAAGGCTTCTGGCATGAGAGCACTGTATAAACCTTTCGTTACTCCCTTGTAGCATCTCATCGCCCCAACTACTTTCGGGGCTCAGTGGGAATCGGCACTGACATTTCCCCCATACCCTGGCAGCACTGCCATTGCCCCAATGCCCTGGCAGCACTGCCATTTCCCCCATGGGGCAACACTGCCTTTGCCCCCATGCCATGGCAGGGGTCCCAACCATCTCTGAAAAAGAAGGGCCTGTGCTCGGGATAGCCCCCTACACTTCCAATCACTCACACACGCAAGGGGTCACCCCCCTTCCCTTCCACTCACACACCCGAAGGGTTTCGATTCCCTACTCCTACCCCTTATCTTAACACTAATCCAACCATAAAATGACCCACACATAACCATCCATTCAAACCACACACCACCAAACGCCCGCAGTCACCGCCCGCCCACCCACCCTTAACTACCCACCACCCCCAAGCTACCGCCCACCCACCCTTGACTACCCACCACCCCCCACCATTGCCGCTCACTCCACTTACCCTGGGGGATCAGCCCCCCACCATTGCCGCTCACTGCACTTTACCGTGGGGGATTCAGGCCCCCACCATTGCCGCTCACTGCACTTACCCTGGGGGGTTCAGCCCCCCACCATCGCCGCTCACTGCACTTAGCCTGGGGGGTTCAGCACCCCACCATTGCCGCTCACTGCACTTACCCTGGGGGATTCAGGCCCCCACCATTCAGGCCCCACTCTCCCACCTAAGAGGATTCAGTTCCCACTATCCCACCCAAGGGATTTCAGGCCCCACTCACCCACCCAAGGGATTTCAGGCCCCACTCATCACCCAAGAGGTTTCAGGCCCCTTTCTCTCACTCACCCATCCAATCCACCCCCACACTCACCTACCAGCAGTCGGAGCAGCAGAAAGCCCACTTCCTTGAGGAAACAGCACCCAAAGAGGCGGTGCTTTGTGGATCGAAGTGTGGTAGTGGAAAATTGCTTCCAGCACAAGACTCAAATCCCACCCCTGACGTGGCCAGAGCTGACGCGAACCAGAGCCGCCGGCCGGTCGGCTCTGACGGTGTCCATTAGGCCTTGAACGTCAGTTCGGTTACTTGAGCACCGAGTGCCGGGGCCGCACAGATTCCACCCACCACACCCCACCACCACAAGACACAACCCAGGGAGACGCTGTCCCTAAGGCAGTGAACTCCCCACTTGTTCCCATGCTCCCCACCCACCCAACCCACACTTCACCCCCATGCCCTTACCTGTACCTACCACAGCCGTGCAGAGCGCCATGATGCTGAGGCTGCTGGGAAGTGGAAAGAGAAGGGGATTAGGGGAGGGAGAGACTCCTCTGTGGTCCAGGCAGGGTGCTGCTGGGAGGGAAGGGAGACGGGAGAGAGGAGGAGGTGAGTGAGAAGGTGGACTCCACTCTCCTGCCCTTGCTCCAGTGCTTCCACCTTCAGCCTGCAGGAGTTAAAGGGAGGGAGAGAGAGGGGAGGGAATCAGATCAACACACCTCACCTGGTACCTTACCAAATCTTTTACCACACCTCGCTCACACCATGCCTAGCCTAATCTCCTGCCCAGCCCCCCACCCCCCCACTGCTGCTGCGGTGCTGCTTCTGCTGCTGCAAGTGCTGCTGTCGGTCTGCTACTTTGCTTCCTCTGCTGCACTCTTCTCTTGATGCCAAGTGACCTGGTGGCGGGCAGAAAAGGGGGAGGGGGACAGGAGAGAAAGGGCAGAAGGTTAGTGATGTGACGTGAACAGAAACACTAAAGTCAACACAGAAACGCATAAGCTGACAAAGACAACAAGGGCAAAATGCAGAAAGAACTGAAGCAACAAATGCACTCTAAGGAGGGAGGTAACGCACCTTGAGAGGCCAGCCCACCCCAATACTCTCCCTCATGGCACCAACTGCAAGCTGCTGCAGTGCTGCCGCCCTCCCATCCCCATGGGTACCTGCACGGCCACAAGGGAGGGGCGAGGGGGAGTGTTGGCGTCGAACTACACACCCCTCCTTCCACCGGCAAGCACACACGCAGAGATAGTGAGTGTGCAATCATAACACAAGGCTGGCATGCAGCTGGGAATACAATCGCAGGGAAGTGGAGGGAAGGGGCCACTGGTGGAGGGAAGAATCACAAGCCACGGACCATCAAGGGAACCTGAAAAATGAACCTGTAAGTATGGAGTAACCTGAGGGGGGTGTTAAGGCCTAGGAAGGGCTTAACCTGAGGGGCTCAGGAGCTAAGGGGGAGGGTCTGTGGCTTGCAAACCGGGCCCCAACCAGTGGCGAGTTCTTAGGGAGAAAACGCGGAAGCACATGCGAAAATGATTCAGGGAGCAACGCGAGGAAAGAGCAGCAATTCCACGGAAGAGAAGGCACTTAGCTGCAGGATGCTGACTCCTTCCCTCCCCTCCCCTGCTGTCGCCGCCGCCGCCACCACCGCCACCGCTGCTGCTGCTGCTGGTGCCGCCGCAAGTGGTTCCGTGAAGGTGGCACAGAGGTGCCTCTGCTGCATTGAGAGGGACCTGGAAGGGGGCAGACGGGAAGGAAGGACAGGAGGCGAGTGAGTGCAGGCCGTGAGGCAAGCAAGGGCGAAGCACAAGGATAAGCAGCAGAAGAGGCAGCATCAAAGACCCACAGCAACAAGTGCGGCAGAGAAGAGCTGGAAAGAGGCTTACCTTGAAGGGCCAAGCCCACGCCAATACTCTCCCTTGAGGCAGCGGGATTGCCATGGTGCACTGCTGCCTCCCTCCAGTCCCCTCCCGGCGCTGCCTCCCTCCGCAGCAGCCCTCCTCTCCAGGTGCCTCCTCCCTGCACGGCCAAAGGGGAGGGGCGTGAGGGAGCGTCGGTGTTGACCCCACACCCCTCCCCGCCACCTGCAATGCGCACACACAGAGCTAGTCAGAGCGCGGTGGTGGGAGCAAGTTGAATGGGAAACTGTGACTTGAAATTCAGCGCAAGGGAAGGGAGGAGGAGCCACTGGTGGAGGCACAGCCACAAGCTGCAGACCCAAGGGCACCTGAAAAAAAACCTGAGGGACGTACCTGCACCTTAGAGGGTTACCTGCACCTGAGAGGGTTACCTGCACCTGAGAGGGTTACCTGCACCTGAGGGGGTTACCTGCACCTGAGGGGGTTACCTGCACCTGAGGGGGTTACCTGCACCTGAGGGGGTTACCTGCACTTGAGGGGGTTACCTGAAGAGTGGAGGTCTGTAGCATGTGAGCCGGGCCCAACCAGTGGCGAGTATTCAGGGATAAAACACAGAAGCCCATGCAGAAACGACAAGAGTGATTCAGCATGAGCAGTGAGCAGCAGGCAAGAGTGAGTCTACGGAGGCGAAAGCACTTAGCTGGCAGCTGAAGAGCCGCCTCCCTGGAGATGCCGCCTCCCCCCTCCCCTCCCCTCCCCTGCTGCACCAGTGCTCCCCACTGCTGATGCTGCCACAACTGGTCCCATCAGCTGCCTCTGCTGCATTGCAAGTGACCTGGAGGGGGGCAGAACGGAAAGGAAGGCCAGGAGGGGAGTGAGTGCAGGCCTTAAAACAGGCAAGGGTGAATTAAAGGGATGAGCGCAAGAGGGCAACTTAGCAGAAAACGAGTGCAGCGGGAAAGAGAGGTACGAGGCTTACCTTGAGAGGCCAAGCCCGTCCCAATACTCTCCCTTGCTGCAGTGGGATTGCCATGCTGCAGTGCTGCCTCCCTCCCGTCCCCCCGAGTCCCTGCACGGCCACAGGGGAGGGGCATGGGGAAGCGACGGTGTTGACCCCAGCGCCCCTCCCCTCCACCTGCAACGCACACACACGGCAGTGGTCAGTATGCATGGCATGGGCACAACACAAGCCAGAGACCGGAACTGCCAAATGTGAAAGAGAAAGGGAGAGCCACTGGTTGAGGCCAGGCCACACGCCACAGACGCCAAGGGAACCTGCACCTGAGAGGGGGACCTGCACCTGAGAGGGGGACCTGCACCTGAGAGGGTTACCTGCACTGCACCTGAGGAGATACCTGAAGTGTGGGGGTCTGTGGCATGTGAGCCGCGCTGGACCAGTGGCATTGTTTCAAAGGGAAGAGCGTACAACCAGCGAACGAAATGACATGCTAAGAAGGTGAGGGCATTGAGGAGGGTTACTTAGCTGATAGCGTGAGGGTGAGGTCAAGGCAGCTGCAGCACCACCAGCTGCCTCCCTCCGCAGCAGCCCTCCTCCAGGTGCCTCCTCCCTGCACGGCCACAGGGGAGGGGCGTGAGGGAGCGTCGGTGTTGACCCCACACCCCTCCCCGCCACCTGCAACGTGCACACACAGAGCTAGTCAGAGCGCGGTGGTGGGAGCAAGTTGAATGAAAGACTGTGACTTGAAATCCAGCACAAGAGAAGGGAGGAGCCACTGGTGTAGGCATGGCCACAAGCTGCAGACCCACGGGCACCTGAAAAAAAACCTGAGGGGTGTACCTGCACTGCACCTGAAGGGGTTACCTGCACCTGAGAGGGTTACCTGAAGTTGAGGGGTCTGTAGCATGTGAGCAGTACTCAACCAGTGGCGTTGTTTCAAGACGAGGGTGCAACAGCAGATGAAACGAAAAAAACAGTGTGCGGGCATGGGGAACGGGTACTTAGCTGATTGTGTGGTCCAGGCGGAGGGGGTGCTTCAATGGAGAGTGGGCAGGGCGAGCAGGGACGGACCTGGGAGGCAGAGGAGAAGGGAGAGAGATATATGGAGATGGTAAGAGGCAGGTGGGAGGGAGCGACTCTTATAAACGAGAAGACAGGCAGCAGTGTGAGTGCAAAACGACAGTGCATGCGACGCCAACCACAACCCCACAAGAGCCGCTACCAACCTGACCCTGCACCTGAACCTGAACCTGAGGGGAAGTGGGCTCGAGTGGAGTGTGGTGGCAGGGGCGATACTGCAACCTCAACCGTTGATGAGGCCGGCGCTGCTGCCCCGCTGCCCGCGCTTCTGCTGCCTGCCCTGGTGCTCCCCTCGCCTGCTGCTCGCCTGCTGCCCTCCCCCTGGCTTGTGAAGGCCTGGCAGGGTAGGGATGGGAGGGCGGGGAGGGCGGAAAGAAAAGGCAGCCGAAAGTAAGACGGGTTGCAATGGAGAAAAGTGTCAAACATACGTGCAACAGCAGAAACGACAGTGCATGTGACTCCAACCACAACCCCACAAGAGCCGCTACCAACCTGCACCTGCACCTGAACCTGAACCTGAACCTGAACCTGAGGGGGAGTGGGCTCGAGTGGAGTGTGGTGGCAGGGGCGATACTGCAACCTCAACTGTTGATGAGGCCGGAGCTGCTGCCCCGCTGCCCGCGCTCCTGCTGCCCGCCCTGGTGCTCCCCTCGCCTGCTCCTCGCCTGCTGCCCTCCCCCTGGCTTGTGAAGGCCTGGCAGGGAAGGGAGAGGAGGGAGGGCAGGGTGGGAAGGAAAGGCAGCCGAAAGTAAGAGCGGTTGCGATGGAGGAAAGTGTCAAACACACGTGCAACAGCAGAAACGACAGTGCATGCGACGCCAACCACAACCCCACAAGAGCCGCTACCAACCTGAACCTGCACCTGAACCTGAACCTGAGGAGGAGTGGGCTCGAGTGGAGTGTGGTGGCAGGGGCGATACTGCAACCTCAACTTTTGATGAGGCCGGCGCTGATTCCCCGCTGCCCGCGCTCCTGCTGCCCGCCCTGATGCTCCCCTCGCCTGCTGCTCGCCTGCTGCCCTCCCCCTGGCTTGTGAAGGCCTGGCAGGGAAGGGAGGGGAGGGCGGAGAGGGCGGAAAGGAAAGGCAGCCGGAAGTAAGAGGGGTTGCAATGGAGAAAAGTGTCAAACACACGTGCAACAGCAGAAACGACAGTGCATGTGACGCCAACCACACCCCACAAGAGCCGCTACCAACCTGAACCTGCACCTGAACCTGAACCTGAGGGGGAGTGGGCTCGAGTGGAGTGTGGTGGCAGGGGCGATACTGCAACCTCAACCGTTGATGAGGCCGGCGCTGCTGTCCCGCTGCCCGCGCTCCTGCTGCCCGCCCTGGTGCTCCCCTCGCCTGCTCCTCGCCTGCTTCCGTCCTCCTGGCTTGCGCTCGCCTGTCAGGCAGGGAGGGCAGGGCGGGGAGGGCAGCGAGGGGAGCGCCGTGAGGAACGAGGTGAAGGCAGCGGGAGAAGTCGGAGGGCAGTGAGGGCAGGGCGGGGAGGGCGGGGAGGGCAGTCCGTGTGTCAAGCAGTCAACGGTTCAAGCAGTAAACGATTCAAGCAGTCAACGGTTCAAGTAGTCTGTGTGTCAACCAGTCAACGATTCAAGCAGTCTGTGTGTCAAGCAGTCAACGGTTCAAGCAGTAAACGGTTCAAGCAGTCAACGGTTCTAGCAGTCTGTGTTCAACCAGTCAACGATTCAAGCAGTCTGTGTGTCAAGCAGTCAACGGTTCAAACAATCCGTGTGGCAAGCAGTCAACGGTTCAAGCAGTCTGTGTGTCATGCAGTCAACGGTTCAAGCAGTCAATGGTTCAAGCAGTCAACGGTTCAAGCGGTCAACGGTTCAAGCGGTCAACGGTTCAAGCAGTCAACGGTTCAAGCAGTCTGCGTGTCAAGAAGTCAACGGTTCACGCAGTCTGTGTGTCAAGCAGTCAACGGTTCAAGCAGTCAACGGTTCAAGTAGTCAACGGTTCAAGCGGTCAACGGTTCAAGCGGTCAACGGTTCAAGCAGTCACCGGTTCAAGCAGTCAACGGTTCAAGCAGTCAACGGTTCAAGCGGTCAACGGTTCAAGCGGGCAACGGTTCAAGCAGTCAACGGTTCAAGCTGTCCGTGTGTCAAGCAGTCAACGGTTCAAGCAGTCAACGGTTCAAGCGGTCAACGGTTCAAGCAGTCAACGGTTCAAGCAGTCAGTGTGTCAAGCAGTCAACGGTTCAAGCAGTCAACGGTTCAAGCAGTCAACGGTTCAACCGGTCAACGGTTCAAGCAGTCAACGGTTCAAGCAGTCAACGATTCAAGCTGTCCGTGTGTCAAGCAGTCAACGGTTCAAGCAGTCAACGGTTCAACCGGTCAACGGTTCAAGCAGTCAACGGTTCAAGCAGTCAACGATTCAAGCTGTCCGTGTGTCAAGCAGTCAACGGTTCAAGCAGTCAACGGTTCAAGCAGTCTGTGTGTCAAGCAGTCAACGGTTCAAGCAGTCAAAGGTTTAAGCAGTCAGTGTGTCAAGCAGTCAACGGTTCAAGCAGTCAACGGTTCAAGCAGTCAACGGTTCAAGCGGTCAACGGTTCAAGCAGTCAACGGTTCAAGCAGTCAACGGTTCAAGCTGTCCGTGTGTCGAGCAGTCAACGGTTCAAGCAGTCTGTGTGTCAAGCAGTCAACGGTTCAAGCAGTCTGTGTGTCAAGCAGTCAACGGTTCAAGCAGTCTGTGTTTCAGGAAGTCCGTGTATCAAGTAGCCGAATGTCCAGACATTCTGTGTTGCACTTAGCTTTAAAATGAGTGCTTCTGAGCGTCGCAGACTGGTGAGATGAGCGCCATGCTTCTCGCTTCCGTGAAATCGCCTCCACGCCATAATGCTTCTCCGCGGATTTGTATCGCCTTCGGGGCGGTTTGATTGATTTCGGCACATCTGAACGCGAACTTAAACTATAATATTTTTTAAATTTAGGAACGTGGCGGAAAGTAGTTAACGTGGTTAACGTGAAGATTCTGGGAGTAGCAACGCACCTGATGCAGGGAATGCGCGATTCGAGGAGGCGATCCTCCCTGTCATAGCCACAGCTACGCCGGAAATTCTGCTTAGCCACGCGATTCCGCTTAGCTACGCGATTCCGCTTAACCGCGTCACGAGCTTCAAGCTTGAATGAGGTGATCAGCCGTGTTAGTGGAGGTCGCAGCAGAACGGACTCTCGAATTCGTCGCTGCTGATGGAACAAGACGCTTCAAACCGAAAACAGATTGCAAAATATCTGTTGACGGCCGAGATTGCTGGGAAGGTCGAGCATCTCTTCCGACCGCCAAAGTCGTTGCAGTTACCAAAAAAACGCTGCCGCTGACAGTGAGAACTGCTGACGAGGAGGAGATTCGTTTCCCATCGCAAATTCCGCTGACAACCGGACTTTATTGTCGAGAATGGTAAAACACGAAGCTGCTGACATGGAGATACGCTTCTGCCGGCGAGAACTGCCGCCGACGAGGACTTCGCAGCTAACGGAAACAATCGTTGCTGCTGACGAGACATTCGCCTGTTGATGAGAAATGAGGAGATGGAGGGGAAAGAATGAGGAGATGGAGGGGTGTGCTTGTTGGATTGGAATTGGCGCATTATGAGGCCATGTTGAGCGCGGTTGAGATGATTGAAAATGGGTTTGACATTGTTGTGGTTCTGCCTTCTTCCAGTTTGTGCTGGCCATTCACAGGAATAGATCAGCACAGCCAGAGTCATCCCAACCAATCCCCAGGTGGGCCAAGCGGCGGAGGGGCATGCACCGGCCACAAGATTCGCCCGCGAATATCCGCGAGCGCGCATCATTTTCAACAAATGGCCAAGTCACGAAACGTTTGTGCGACAAGCGAAGTAGCACTTGTGACCCAATGGTTTTTTCGCTTGCGCGTACAAAGCAGTCCCGGCTCGAACGACGGATATTTGCGAGACTCGTGAGTGTCGTCATTGACGTCGAACCTAACGGCTCTAGCACGGTTATGTTAGGCTTGTGGAATGCGCTGCCTCGAAAGCCTGACACGCCACGAAGAGGCGCAGATTCGGGAGTATTGCGGAGGGCAGAGCTGCTGCTCCAACGGGATGCCTGCGGACGGCGCAATTTGGGGAAATTTGTGGAGCAGCATGAAGATTCTGATTCGACATCCGCAAGATCATCAAACAAGCCCCATGTTTGCCCTGAACATCCTCATGATCCAACGGACGAAATGAACTAGCACAGAACGCATCAGTTGTGAGAAAAGTGGTCTGCTGTTACGGGTGCAATGAATCGAAGTAGCGAGAATTGCACTAAGGTGTCAAACGAGTACAAAATGTGAGCGAAAGCATGAGAGAACATTTATACGCGAAACATGCAAACGGTGATACGGTGCGTGCGAGCTAGCTAGTGCTACGCTGGCAGCGAGGCTCGGGCTAGTCCCAAAGCATGGGCCGACACAGCCGGGCCAGCAGTGCAAGGTTTGGCAAAACAGTGCGCGAGAAGTTGGTGAAGTCCCGTTAGCAGTAACGGGCGAACAACGGCTGCTGCTGTACGCGATGTTGCAGGGTGCGCTAAGGAATAACGAGAAAATTCCTTACATCTGCAGATACTTTGAATGTACTTTCATGACATAAAAATACACTGCTAGTTAGTCTTATTGTATTGACAAATTAAACATGTTTCACCTGAAATCCTTCTTATTCAGTTTCCACGTTAATCACACAACTTCATAGTATTCGCAAAAAATTGAGATGTTCAATGCTTTAATATCGTTTTAATCTGTCCTTGATTCTCTAATTTTCATCATATATACGATGACAACCATATAAGTCCTCCTATTGTATATAAGAAAGGCAATATTAGATTAACGGACGGTACTACAATGTGAGTATGCAAAAATTGCAGGTATAACATCCAGCACTCCCACTTCATACCGTGTATGCGGACAAATTCGAATAGATTATAATAACTGTTGACGGTGGCCTGATTCTAGAGTACATTTAGTGTCAAGTCCACCCATCATCCTTCTTGCAGGCATCAAGCCACACTATGGCTATTGCCATTGCACACACCAGAGAGACTGTTGTAAGGTATCTGTCAGGGCGATCATTGCCTCTATGCCTTGCCAGGGCGACCATTGCCGCTATGCCTTGCCAGGGCGACCATTGCCCTCACGTCGGAGGTCTTCTCGTTCTGTCCAAAATTTCTATCATGTATCAGGAAAACCTGCTCGATATCATGAATTCGTGAGCAGAAATGAGCGTGACTGGGCGGAATCAAGCTTTTGTCAGAGGTCCACTGGTGATCCCCGATTGATCCTAGGGAAGGGTTACAGGCATGTTGGACCTGGGGGGTTATGGGCGCACTGAATCGCTACTGAAACAAACCCTTTTATCTCAATGGTCTAGTGGTTGGGATTCTGACATACTATCAGAGCGAAGGTTCGCGGGTTCGAATCCCAGTGTGTATACTTCGGGCATCCTAGTGCGGGGTGGTGTCAGAGGTCCACTGGTGATTCCCGATTGATCTTAAGGAAGGGTTACAGGCATGTTGGCCTGGGGGGTTATAGGCGCACTGACCCGCTACTGAAACACGCTCTTTTATCCCAATGGTCTAGTGGTTGAGATTCTGATAGTTTTTGTTATTGCTAAAACAGCTGTGGGAAACAGTTAGATTGGCAAACGATGAAATGCTACATTTCCCATTAACAATATTTTTACGCAATAATTTGATTGAAATTGGGGAGAATCAAGATGTCTATGCACACTAGATCAAACAATTTCTGAGTGGGCTGTTCAATTAATTGAGGAGATATGCATTCACCCAAAACGGGGTATTCAACATGGAACCCAGATAGGTCACGTCAGCATCCCTCCACGTCATTCAGACCTTTCTTAGAGAAACGGAAGTAACTGACAACCAATAGGCGAGTGCCTAGAGAGTATTCGTGCAATCCTCGAGGCCACAATCCCCATCCACTCTGACTTCGCTTCGGGCGTTTCTTTAGCGAAAAGAATCATTTGCTCACTAAGTTCCCAACCTCCTCTTCAGCCACGGAAGGCGGCTTGGATAAGGCTAGGGCACAGGGGATTGTGCTCCTGCTACGTCCCTCTTTGAATGAAGCCATTGCTTGGAAGCCATTACTTGTCATTCTGAAAGGAATGCACGCAACGACTAATCAATCTGATCCGAGCCTCTTGCTCGAACGGAAGGGTTTGTCATTTGCTTCGCGAAACATCGTGACCATCGTGTTTCGAGGAGCTTTTGATTTGTGACGCTTACGCGTCAAAACCGCGTTGTTCCTTGGTACCACTACAAAAATGGCGTGTTCAATGGCCATGATGCAAGCAGCTAAATGCGGCCTCTCCCTCGCCGCCGCGCCCACAGCTAGAGCCGGGTCCCCCACAATTGCCGCCTCAGGAGTTCCGCTCGCCGCGCTTCCACGTGGAAGTTCCTCAGCCGTCCGTTCTGTCGCAGCCATGTCGGTCGGCTCCAGTTTCAAGGAATCGTGGTGTGGGAAGGCGCATCTTGGATGCAGCGACATGCGAGTCGTCTTTCAAGGTAGTACCTGCCCTTCCTTTTCACTTGCGCGCCCTTGGTGAGCCGTGTTCCTTGGGTTCGTCGCAGAGGGTCGTAACATTTTCTATCTCTCTCTCGTACGAGGACACAAAAGGCTTCCGTCGGGAGCCATCAAGTGAAGCATAAGCCATGAGCATTTCTATCAAGCATCTTGCTCGAGCTACGCCTTTACCGCGCCGCCATGATCGTTAGCTGCTCTTATTCCCTTCAACGCCTCCTTTCTCCTTTCGTTACCCGGCTGTCCGCAGGTAGCAGAAGCGTCGCGAGCAGGAGCACTCGGACGGCGGGCAAGGGTCTGCTGGTGCAGGCGTCATTTATGGGCGTGGGCGCGCCTGAAGCCCTCGTGATCGGCGTCGTCGCGCTCCTGGTCTTCGGACCCAAGGGTCTGGCCGAGGTACGCCGAGATTGATGACTATTGTCCGTATAAAAATCAGTATAGGCATTGTGGCCCAGGTTCGGCTTGGTCGAGGCTGTATCCGTGTCCGTGTCATTGAGGGCTGAAAGTTAATGGAAACGATTTGGGATGAAGGATGCGAAGCGAGGGAATATAACAGAAACGGCAAAATAAAGCACAATATAACGAGGAACTCTTTCGATATGAGAGCTGTTCTGCTCAGAAACTAACTACTTCTGGCTCTCCCCATCCATCCATGTGTCTGTTTCATTTCAGATGGCTCGCGGCGTGGGCAAAACTTTGAAGACGTTTCAGCCAACGATTAGGGAGCTCCAGGAGGTGTCCCGGGAATTCAGGGACACGCTTCAGTCAGAGATCGGAATCGACGACATCAGGAACCCACCGCCTCCTCCCCCCACCCCCGTCGCTGCTCCTCCTGCTGTACCGCCCACTCTTTCTGCCGCTGCCCCCGCTGCTTCTCCCGCCGCTGCTCCCGCCGCCACCGCCGCGTCTGCCGCTGCCCCGAATGTCACAATCATCCCCAAGGGTTCGTCCTTCGCCTTGCTGGTGCATCCCTATCATTATGATTTTATATTTCCCAGCGCTACAAGGAAATGACTGTTCCATGGGCGAATATGATTGTAGTGTTCGCCTCCTATCCCCACCACAGGCCCCTCGTTACGTGGGTGCTGGCACCTCCCAAACCATGCCATAGATACAAACTTTTCCACAAATCTTCCGTGGGCGAATATGACTGTTTACCTTTCTCCTCGCGCTGTCCCTCCCCCTCCCTCGCTCCCACTGTCTCCGCACTTCCTCGTCAGTCCCCTTATAGTACATGCCCTTCATTTACCCTCTCCATCCCACCTTTTCCTTTCCTCCCTGGACTGTCCTTTCTTCCCCCACCGCATCACCCCACCGCCCATCCCTCACCGCCACGTGCAGAGTTCTCAGCTGATGACGTGGCGAAGGTGACAGAGCAACAGCTGGCGGCAGCCGCCACGCTCAACACAGTCACGGACGACATGAAGAAAGGTGAGGGCCCGCGGGGTTGTCATGCGGCTTCAAGAAGTATGAAGACGGATGAGGGGCGTGTGATGGACTGTGACGCAGCTTTTGACTGTGACAAAAGCTGGGCTCTTGTTGAGTGGGTTCTTATCATGGTGGGGTGGCCAGTCCAGAGGTGCATGATTGCAACGTTCTTATCATACACTACTCGCTGCATTTGATTTAGCCCTTTCCCAGAGTTATGTTCATGTGTGTCAAATCATGTCATCTCCATACGTTCTCTCCCGTGCATCCTTTCCCATGCATTCATGCCCATCCTCTTCAGCATCTGCAGCTGCTGCATGGGCACCTGCTGCTGTTGCTACCCCAGCAGCAGCTCCCGCTGCTGCAGCAGCTACACCAGCAGCCGCATCGTCTGCAGCACCCGCAGCGCCAGTGTCACCGCCAGCAGCGCCAGTATCACCGCCAGCAGCAGCAGCACCGGCAGCACCAGCAGCACCGGCGGCACCAGCAGCAGCAGATTCCGCAACCCCTAGCCCAGTCTCTCTGGTTGATGAGAGCAAGACACCTGCCCCCGGCTGCTGAGAGATAGATGACTGCATACGGTAGCTGTTATGTATGAGGGGAGTGCTAATAGTTGTGTGTTTTGCACCTGTGTCTTTAAAGATGAAGTGGTGCGGTGTGAATGGTGTGATGATGTGTGCCTTTTTGCTAGGACTGAAAGTGTGCCTATACTGGTTAGTGAACTCCAAATGGTTGCTTAGCAGGAGGCTTTCACTCAACTGAGCTGCCAGAAACAGCAACTAAAATCGTCTAGCACCTAGGGAAGACCTTAACAGTGGATAAAACATGCTTGCCAAGTGTTCCACCAGTCCCCATCTTGGATAGTAACAGTAACCAGAAACCTTAAAAAAGAAACTATGGCAGGAAAGGCTTAGGTTCTGTAGACTGACAGTTCCTAAGCAGGCGGCTGCATTGGCGGCACAGGTGCGTTGTCATGCAACCACTTGAGGTACGCTTCACTGCCGCCCACAATCGGGAGCGCTATGAGCTCAGGCACACTGCACCCGCCCACATGGCACATGCAAACATACCATATACGGACGGCTTTATTGGAGACAGGGGGGTGGGGGGCATGTGTGAAGACGTATGAATGAGGCGGGGAGGCAGACCAGAGAAAGGGAGAAAGGGAGAAGGGATGTGGGGAGCAATGGTCGGGGGGGACAAGGGATGAGCTGCAACCTTTCAGCAAAGGGAATACCTTCCACCTCCATCCTCACCTCCTCATGCAAACCAAACTCATCCCTCCCCCATCCTAACCAAAACATACATATCCCTTCCCTTCACCCATGCATGCACCCCTCCCTCCCATTCCCTCTCCCTGCCTCCCGAGCATGCACTCACTCGTACGGATGGTTCCCCTTGAGATGCTCTTGAATGGACGGCAGTAAGGCACGCCGTGTCTTCACTATAAGCAGCTCCTCGTTATCAGTCTCAATCTGCAGGGTAACAATATAAAAAACATGGGCCGCGCAGAATGGATACTCAAAACATGCTGGACAAAAGAAACAACTATAGCAAGGACCGGAAAGTCCAAGGTCCATGGTGGCAAGAGAGAGAATTCCGGCAAGTACCGGTAGCACAACATTTACACGAGGCAGTATTGCAGCATGCCACATGGATGGTGCAAACCGTGATCTGCCACAGGGGCTTGCACAGGCAACACCATGCATGGCAATGCATGGCAATGGCGTTCAGTGCAATGCATGGCAATGGCGTTCAGTGCAATGCATGGCAATGGCGTTCAGTGCAATGCATGGGCGCAAAAGAGGGCATTGCATGGCGATTCCACGTGGCTGCAACGCTCGACAGCAGCTCGGGCAATTTACTCACCTTTCCCTCCCACCAATAGGTTGACTCGACTCCTGCCCACGCCCCCGCACACGAGAGAACAACAAGTAGACAAATAGAAAGAGTCAGCTAAGTTCCTGTGTCAATTGCTCACCCAAATCCGCTTGCCCCCCAACCTTTCCCACCTTTCCCCCTCCCTCCTGTTTATCCACCCCTCACCCTGCCTCCAAATGCATCATTGATCTGCCCAGAGCACTTGACTAAGCTATGCAGGTATGCAGGAGTCACTTTTGAGAGTTCTCAAAAGAGCTTCCCTCACTCTTTCTCTCCCTCCCACTCCATCTCTCTCCCCACTTCAACGCCCTCCTCCACTAGATTTCCCTCCCAACACCACAATCCATAACGCCCAAATGCATGCTCAACAGCCTTGGTCTTCCAGCAGCACTGGGGGTGATGGGGGTGATGTGATGTGATGGGGGTGATGGGGGTGACGGGGGTGATGGGGGTGATGTGATGTGATGGGGGTGATGGGGGTGATGGGGGTGATGGGGGTGATGGGGGTGACGGGGGTGATGGGGGTGACGGGGGTGATGGGGGTGATGTGATGTGATGGGGGTGATGGGGGTGATGGGGGGTATGGGGGTGATGGGGGTGATGGGGGTGATGGGGGTGATGGGGGTGATGGGGATGATGGGGATGATGGGGGTGATGGGGGTGATGGGGGTGATGGGGGTGATGGGGGTGATGTGATGTGATGGGGGTGATGGGGGTGATGTGATGTGATGGGGGTGATGGGGGTGATGTGATGTGATGGGGGTGATGGGGATGATGGGGATGATGGGGGTGACGGGGGTGATGGGGGTGATGGGGGTGATGTGATGTGATGGGGGTGATGGGGGTGATGGGGGTGATGGGGGGGTATGGGGGTGATGGGGGTGATGGGGGTGATGGGGGTGATGTGATGTGATGGGGGTGATGGGGGTGATGGGGGTGATGGGGGTGATGGGGATGATGGGGATGACGGGGGTGACGGGGGTGATGGGGGTGATGGGGGTGATGGGGGTGATTGGGGTGATGGGGGTGATTGGGATGATGGGGGTGATGGGGGTGATTGGGGTGATGGGGGTGACGGGGGTGATGGGGGTGATGGGGGTGATGGGGGGGTATGGGGGTGATGGGGGTGATGGGGGTGATGGGGGTGATGTGATGTGATGGGGATGATGGGAGTGATGGGGGTGATGGGGGTGATGGGGGTGATGGGGGTGATTGGGGTGATGGGGGTGATGGGGGTGATGGGGGTGATGTGATGTGATGGGGGTGATGGGGGTGATGGGGGTGATGGGGGTGATGGGGGTGATGGGGATGATGGGGATGACGGGGGTGATGGGGGTGATGGGGGTGATGGGGGTGATGGGGATGATGGGGATGATGGGGGTGATGGGGGTGATGGGGGTGATGGGGATGATGGGGATGATGGGGGTGATGGGGGTGATGGGGGTGGCGGGGGTGATGGGGGTGATGGGGGTGATGGGGGTGATGGGGGTGATGTGATGTGATGGGGGTGATGGGGGTGATGGGGGTGACGGGGGTGATGGGGATGATGGGGGTGATGGGGGTGGCGGGGGTGATGGGGGTGATGGGGGTGACGGGGGTGATGGGGGTGATGTGATGTGATGGGGGTGATGGGGGTGATGGGGATGATGGGGGTGATGGGGGTGATGGGGGTGATGGGGGTGATGGGGATGATGGGGGTGATGGGGGTGATGGGGATGATGGGGGTGATGGGGGTGATGGGGGTGATGGGGTTGAAGGGGGTGATGTGATGTGATGGGGTTGATGGGGGTGATGGGGGTGATGGCGGTGATGTGATGTGATGGGGGTGATGTGATGTGGCACCTTAGGGCGCGTCACGTTTAAGTGAACGGCCTATTTTTCATAGTTTTTTCAAACAAGGGTACAGCTCGGTTGACAGTACCTGAAAGCGTGCTGTACATTGTGCGTGTCCCTCTAAGACCATGCTGCACGTTCACTGACACGCACAATATATACAGTTTACTTACAAGCGAAACTATCAAAGGTTACAGAACGTTTGTGGACCAATCCCTTCCAGTTAACCCTCACTCAACTTGTAACCACGTTACCTGTATTCTGTTGTTGACTGATACACGAGACGTCGGACATATTTCCGCTGCATACCATTCAAGCATAGCTGTAACATTCAAAACTGAACAGATTTTGAAACAGTGCTGCGTCAACTCGCTCATATCACTGTTTGTATCTGTTACCAGACAAAAGCGGGTAACTGATATGGAATAAAAACGAGAAAACTGTACCTTTTCATTTAAACGTGACGCGACCTTACAATACTTTACAACAACTGCCACTCCCCCCACTCCCTCGTGCATGGCTCACCAGGGACTCGGTTCACACACGCGGCTAGCTTTGCTCCCACCAGCGATGCTGCAAGCTTCTGCCCTGCAGAATGCAACCGAGAGCGCAGGAGAAAGGTGCGAGGAAGCTTTGATGGCGAGAAGCAGGGCCGAAAGGGAAAAGGGGTGAGGAGGTGAAAGTATTAAGGGGGGAGAACGGACCAGCAGCAGCATGAGAGAATGAAAGAATAGAACCATATTGACGAAGCAACATACCTGTTTCCTTGTTGGGTACAGTGATATACACCACGACTGCATCACCCGCTCTCTCATCCGCCACCACTGCCCCCGCCCCTCCCGCTGCTGCCGCCGCTGCTGCTGCCATCCCTCTTACTGCCAAGTCAGGTGCCCGTGCGTTGGCGGCAGAAAGAAAATCAGAGGCTGCAGGAGAGGAGGCGGAGGAGGAAGGGGCAGCCAGAAACAAACTGCCCAGGGAGAGGGAGAGGAAGAGGAGGAGGAGGAGGATAAGAGGGAAGTGGGGAGGTGTGGGGGGTTGAGAGGGTGTGAGACAGGAGAGCGAGGAACGGAGGAGGGTGAGGAAGGAGGACAGGGGAGAGGACCGGGTGTGGGTTGATGAGAAGGACGGTGGAGGCATGGTGCTGTCTAATGCTGGTGCCGGTGTTGGCGTTGACGCTGACGTTAATGTTGACGTTGACGTCGACGTTGACGGTGACGTTGACGTCACCAGGGTTACAGCACCGGTGCGTCTGCAGCAATCACGCGCTGTCACGCAACTCACTAGGAAGGTCAGCGCAGATTAAAGGCAGACGCGGCGACGAGCAGACAGCTCTCACCTCGAAGCGTCCCGCCGTGCGCGGCTCGCAGCAGAGACGCCAGCAATAGCAGCAGCAGCAGCAGCCGAGACGCGGAGCGAAGGCGAAACCGAAAGTGAGGCCGACGGTGGCGGCGCCAGCGACGGCGAGCTAATGGAGAGGCGGTCCTGAGGTCCGAGAGAGGAAAAAAGGGGAGTGACGTGAGGGAAGGGCAAGCAAGGACGACGAGAGAGAGAGACAGGGTGAAAATGAGGGGCACGATAGCCGGAATGGAAGACTCGAGAAGGGACGCTAGATTACGAGTCGCGGAAGGTACGCCGAGAAAAGGGCGGGAGCGCAACGTTTAGCGGCTGCGGCTGGAGCGGCGGAGCTACGACGTACGTCCATGCCGCTGGGTACGTATGCGAAGATTTTGCAAATTTTTTTTCCGAATATAAATCTTGATTTTGAGTCATGGCGACACGTAAATGTCGATACGTACGTAAACGCGTAGCGCGCCGGAATCCGCGGCGTGTTGCAGCAGCGGCTGCGTGGCGAGGAGACGGCGGCGAGGACGGAAGAGGGGGGAGTGACGAGGAGCGATGTGGGATAGGGAAAGCGAGAGGCTAGAAGCCATGGCGGATTGGATGGGGGGAATTTACATTCAGCGGCAGCAGTGATTGACGCGGGGAATGGTTAGGCTGCCGAGGATTCTGGAGAATGGATTCCTCGTGACTACACAGTTCATCTTGCTTTAGAGAGATTCTAAGTCAATCAATTTAGAGAATCACGTGGACAGCATATAAACTACACATAGCTTGCACATGGGTATTATACATTGGTACTCAGTTACGACTGCCAATGCTCTGTACATCTCCCATAGTGTACTATTGCGTTAAAAAAACTTTATGTGCATTGGTACATCCATGTGCACACAGACTTCACAGGCAACCACCCGCTGACCACACACATCCGCAACCCAAGATTGAAATCACAAATAGGAAGAAAAACCTCTCTGGAAGCAGGGCTCCCAGCCAACATTCGGAACTCACTTTCTCCACTCCCCAGGCACAGCACAATCTTTGGACTGAGCCGAGTATAAAAAAAAAGAGATAAAAATCCCATACATGCATGTTGATAATTGCTTCTTTATACACCACACAGATTTAGAATGATCTGTCGATATAGCTCAGCTGCACCAGACAAATCCTTGCTTGCATAGCAGTTCCATAACAAGTGCCACAGCACATCCACAACTTTCACTGGTGCAGCTAATCCAGTACATGATGGCGATTGTGTAAACTCCATCCTGGTCCCATCCCTCAAATGCTCACACCCATCCTTCAAAACCTTACCTACCCTCTCAACACAGCACACCATACTATCAAGCCCTCCTAAAGACCTTCACTTGAATCCCTTCCGCAGCAGCCATGGAAACGCCGAACCTCAGGTTCGGAACCTCCTCGCACATCTGCTTCTCCGAAAGGCGGAACACAAAGCGCCGATAGACGCGAACCATACCAATTATGAGCTGCTGCATGGCCAGCTTGTACCCGAGACACTTCCTCGGCCCCGCACCAAACGGAATATACGCACACGGAGGCCGATTCTCCCCTACAGCCTCGCCGCCGGGGAGGAACCGCTCCGGCTTGAACGCCTCAGGCTCGGCGAACAGCTTCGGGTCGTGGTGGATGCTGTAGGCGTCAACGAACAGGCGCGTGCCCTTGGGAATGGCTTGGCCGTTGAGAGTCGTGTCGAAGGTGGCTTGGCGTGCGATGTTGGGCGCGGGCGGCACAAGGCGGAGAGTCTCCTTGACCACGGCTTCGGTGTAGGGGAAGAGATGCAGGTCCTCGTAGGTGGGGAGCCTGTCTGGAATGGTTGTGTCCACCTCTCTCAGTAGCAGCGCTTCCGCCTGGATGTGAGGGTGCAAGGAGGGGATGATGCGCGGGAGAGCGAGAGCGGGAGAGAAGAGAGTAGAGAGGAGAAATGACGTGATGAGATTCGGCATGAAACGTCAAGCAGAGAACAGAATGGACCAGCGAGCAAAGGAACAAGGGCAGAGGCACAATCAATTGAAAGGCAGACAGCCGCGAATCAGTCACCGTGAATCAGTAACCATGAATCAGTGACGCATCCATCCACCCATGCTGTCCAAACATGCAATAGATCACCTTGGGGTTCTTAGCAATGAAGTAGACAACGAATCCCATGGTCGTGGCAGAGGTCTCCGAGCCAGCGAGAACCATCTCCATCGCCACTGCCTGCACCTGCTTCAACGTCAGCTTTGACCCGTCGTCCAGGCGAGTCTTGTTCGACAGCCACGAGATAAAGTCCGGCCTCTCCTCCTTCTCCCGTTCCTCTCCCACCACTGCTGCTGCTGCCTCTGATGCTTGCGCTCCTGCAGCGCTCTCGCTCTCTACCCAATCCGCACCAGCAGCAGCAGCAGCAGCAGGGGGGCTGGTGGTGGGGTGAGGGCTGTCTCGGATGGCGAGGACAGCAGCAGCCGTGTACTGCCTGGCGAGCCAGCCTGCGCGCTCAGGCGTGCCGGGGATGCACTCGAGAGCAAGGCGCAGCACGGTGCCCAGAGGGAGGTGGAACAGCTGCACCGGGGCTGACCACGGCGCATTGCTGGTATGCAGAGGAAGCAGGGAATGAAAAAAAAGGTGGGAAAGAAGGGATCAGACAAAGAGGGAGGAGGACAGGTGGGAACAAACATGAAGGCAAGCGCAGAACAGGTGGTCGGGTCGGGTCGGCTTTGAAGGCGGTGCAAGCAAGCACACACGCAAGCAAGCACGCACGCAAGCACGCAAGCAGCATACTGATTGCTCACCAGCCCGAGATGTTGAACTGCTCGAGAATGGTCTGCACCGCTCCTGTGAGCTTTTGAGTCGGCTTAGAACTGCTTTTTTTTTAGTCAACTAAAAAGCAAGCAAGCGTGCGCGCAGCACGCTCACTCACCGGCCCGAGATGTTGAACTGCTCGAGGATGGTCTGCAGCGCTCCTGTGAGCTTGCCGCCATCGTACGAGGAGAAGCGCCGGCCAAACACAGCAGACCCCACCTCGTCCACCGACGCATGGTGGAACAGCGGCGCCACATCCACGTACCCGCCGCCCTCCCCACTCAGCCCACTCGCCCCACTCGCCCCACTCTCTCCCGCCATCCTCCCTGCGTCTTCTGCTGCCCACACTGCTGCTGGGCGGGCGTCTTTCTCTGGGCTGGATTCCTCTGCTGCTGCTGCTGCCATGCCCTTCCCTGTCCTCACAGCCTCTGGCAAGCTGCTGCTCTCCAGTGCGCTCTCGGCCGGAGTGGCTGCATGAGCTGGTTCGACGGCAGCAGGAGAGGTGGGTTCCAGCGGTGGTGGAGGTGGAGGTGACGCTGGTGGCTCTGCCAGTGGAGATGCTTCTCCCTCTCCTTCTGTCTCGTGCTTCTGGGGCTTTAGTGCCTGCTGTTGCTGCTGGGATGGTGAGGCTGCGAGTGATCCCTGGGCGAGACTGTCGAGCTTGCCTGTGACACATGGACAGATCCACACACAGGCACACACGCACACATGCACCCACACACGCACAGCAAGTGAAGGCTATCGTGAGCAACAGCAACAACGGGGCCTTCTCATATCTGCATAAGCCATGGGCGGAGTCGCCATCTCAGTGCAGCAGTACGTTTCAGAATTGACCTGCACACAGAACCAATGCCCACCACTCAACTTCCTGCACCCACAAACGAAAAAGAGGCAACTGCTCACGGGGCTACACATTGAAAAGGAATCATTCACATCATTCACAGAGCAGCTTGGCAAGATAAATCACGCACGAAGCAGGTCGTCCATGCACTCATTAATGAGCGGGGAGTAGCTGGCGAGGCGCGACGAGTGGAACAGCGGCATGACAGCGGCGCGCACGCGGCGCCAGTAGTTGCCCTTGCCAAAAATGATAAAGTCCGCCATGACCTCGTTGGGCGTCAGAAGGAACCGGTCATGGAACGCGTCGAAGCGCCGCTCACACACCTCGCGCGCGAGCTCGGGCGACGCGACAATCACAATAGGTTCCAGGCCCATCATGTACTTGTAGAGCGCGCCGTACTGCCGCGCCCATGCCATGTGGCATATGTGGAACTCGCGCGCAGCTATGTCGGGGATGTTGCCGACGAGGAAGCGGGATGGGGGGCCGGGGATGTGGCGGAGGCGGCGCGTGGGGGAGGTGACGAGGCGGAAGAGGAGGAAGAGGAGGAGCGCGTAGACGGATGTGAGGAGGAAAACGTAGAGGAAGGGGGGCGAGAGGAGGTAGTTGGTGAGTGGGAGGAGGCGTGTGGGGAGGACGCGCGTGGTGATGACGTGAGAGAGCGAGGAGACGGGATGCGCGAGGGACGGCGGGAGGGACGGGAAGAGGGAGAAGAGCGGGGAGAGGAGCGGGGAGACGAAGGCGGAAAGGGCGCGGAAGGCGGGGAAGGGGGAGAAGTCGCCGGGAGAAGGGTAGGAGTTGGCGAGATAAGAGAGGAAAGAGGAGATGGCGCCTCGAGCTCTGCTCGCCGCCATGTCAGCGGAGGCGAAGAGGCCTTCCGCCATGGCGATGGGGTCGTGGTCGTGCGCACGGCCCGCACTCGTTCAAGTCTTCTTCACTCTTACGACTTAGACGCGCCGTGAACGAGAGTCTGTTGAATTCCAGGGTACTGCTTTCTTTCTGCAGGTGAATCCGCACGAAACCTCTCAACCGAACAGGATTCCTTCACTTCGTACCAAACCACGAGCGAAAGCTGCTTGCTGGAGCCAACCGGACTGGCATAACTACTTTATGCTCGCACAATGACTTCCGAACTCCAGGACTGAGGCGGTGAGATGAGATTTATGGAGCAGGCAGAGGAGCCTCGTCCAATCGACTAGCACGAGAGGACGACGGACGAGGAGTGACGCGAACGTAGCGAAGAGTAGCGCCGCACAAACAAACCGTTACGGGATTGAACTGTGAATGAATGTACGCAGCAGCGCCGAGGCCGCTGTCGAGGCGGAGGCTGTGGGGGAGGAGGAGGAGGGAGGAGGAGGACCGGGGGTGTGGAAGAGCAGCGGTGTGCTCGAGGGGCGTGGCTAGCCAGTACAGAAGCGGTGCAGTTCTGGCGCAGTTCGGCGGGATTCGCGCGGAGTCTGGTGTAGGCCGGCGCAGTCTGGCGCAGCATGAGGTCGCGGTGTTCCTCTGCGCGCACGCGCAGCCAAGCCGAGTGTCCACGCGGGTCTGCATGTGAGCGCTGCGACGCTGACGTCAGGAGCAGCGTCGCACGGTGTGGCATGGGCGATGCATGGCGGTGGATGAGGGGAAGCGCAGCGACGGTGAATGCACTGCCACGTACGCGAGGAGGGTCGCAGGAATCATCCAAGAGAACGACGCTATGGGGATGAAGCCAAGATTGCGAAGATTGCGGGGAGGCGTGCGCCTTCGGCACTCGCTGCGCGCGCGGAGATGCTGTATAACGGGCTGCATGTCGAAGGCGAGGCCGATGGGTGGGTAGTAAGGGTAGGGGAGGGTATGGGACGTGACGTGAGCGTGCATGCGCGCGCTGTGAGGCTCGCTAAGCAGCGAGAGAGCGAGCCGGGCGGATCAAGCGGTTTGGTAGGCCCGAGTCGTGGTACTTTCTAAGTTGCGATGATGCGATTCGACAGGAAAGTACGACATTCTTCGTGCACTACTGCATGTGCAAGAGTCTAGCCAAGGTAGGGGTTGCAGCATTGGGCTCACCAAATGAGAATGCTGGTAGGGGATTAGGTTCTGCCACTCATCAGTGCGGTTGAGATGGTTCACTCTCGGTTCCTTACATCGCATTAAAAAAAAAAAAAAAAAAACCCTGACTTCAGTTACAACTGTGGATGTGTACATCATCCAAGAGAAATTGCCCTTTAATTACCGAAATGAATGCGGTAGAATAATTGGAGGTAATTATATTTAATTGAATTTCGGAATGCATGAGAACTAGTCTCTAGATTTTTTGTTTTTTATGTCGGACATCTGTAACCATGATCCCTCAACTAACCACAACACCCAATATCGAGTACGGAAATGTCACCATCAATGTTGCCCCACTCGCTTCCACACACGACCACCATCCATCACTCTTCGCCCATTTCTCATTTGCTACCTTTCCCCCTGGCACAACCTCCTGGCTGCTCCATTAGTTCCCACTGGCTCCACTAATAGAGAGTCTCAGCAAAACTTTGTAATGTGGACAATCTCGCGAAAATCCTCTTAAGCGTCCTCATTGGTCCGCATTGGCCATGTCAGGGCGGCGTAGCGGCCTGTCTGGCCTCTCATCATCCGACAAATCCGACAGCGCCGCGTCGAAGCGCGGCGACGATGACGATCGCGACAGAGACAGGGACCCGGACAGCGATTCGCGATCCAGGGGCGGCGCCGCCAGCAGCTCGGGAAGAAGCGGCGGTCGCGGCGGATCCGGGGAGAAGGAACGGGACAGCGGCGGCGGCGGCGGCGGAAAGGGCGGAGGAGCGATGGTGCTTTTTCAGAACGTTGGCGGCTCGGTGACGTTTCTGCTGCAGATCGCGCTGCTCGCGTGGGGCATACGGCAGCTGCGCAGCGTGCTTGCGAAGCGGCGGGAAACGCGCCAGCGCAATCAGGGCAGCAGCGCCGGCGCCTCTCCCGCCTTCGCCTCGCTCTCCCCGCTCGCCGCGCTCATGATGGCGGGGTGGACGGGGGAAAGCGGGGGCGCAAGCGGCGGAGCTGGCGCAGGGGGGGCGGGGAGCAGCAGCGCGGGGGCTGGCGTTTCCGCGCCAAGCCTCACCGCGGCTGGAAACGGGGCAGGCGGGGGCGCGGGTGAAATCGGCGCAGGGAGGATAGGCGCAGGGGGCGAGGACGGGGGAGTGGCGGAAGCGGGAGGTCTGACACCAACAGCAAGAGCAGCAGCAGTGGGGGGAGCAGAAGCAGGGGCAGTATTGGGGGGGGACGGTGGAGGCGGGGGGGGATGGGGGGGCAGAAACGCGGTGGTTGTGCCTCACGTGGTGATAGATGTGCGGGCGAGGGATTTATCGAAAAGCCAGCCCATCCCGCTGCCGTCCCCACATGTTCTCAACATTCCAGGTCAGTCAGTTGCCCGTCCGTGTACCTTCATGACTTGCCTCCTCCTCCTCTTCCTCCTCCAATGTCCGACGCCCCTGCTCCCCCCTTCCACCGCACTCCGCTCCTCCCCTCCTCCACGTGCTCTGTTCTCCTGCTCTGCTCCGCTTTCACCACTTCTCAACCCCCTCACTCCCCCCCACCTTCCCCTCCCGCCTTCCCCATCCATACCCCCGTACCACCTTCTATACCCAAATCACCCCATTCCACTTGCACCTGCTATTTCCTTCCATCCCCGCGCTTCCAGAGAGCGATCTGCTACAGGCGCTGCAGCTGCCAGCAGCAGCCTGGGAGCACCGCTTCCACGACATGCGGCAGCCGGACCGCCGCCACCTGCTGCTCTTCCTCTCCTCGCACGGCAACTCCGCCCAGCGCGCCGCCACAGTCGCCGCCTCCCTGGGATACACCCGCTCCTGCGTGCTCGCGGGGGGGCTCGACGCCCTCAAGAAGTTTCTTGCTGCTTCCGCTGCAGCTGGTGCCCCTGCCCCGTCGCCTTCGGCTGGTGGTCTGGGCGGAGGGGGAGGAGGCGGGGGAGCGGGAGGAGCGGGGGGAGGAGCAGGGGGTGCTGGGTTGGCCGCAACTCCGTCGGCTCATTCTCACTCATCTGCCGCAGCCGCCGCCGCCGCCGCTGCTGCTGCTGCTCTGGGCTCGTCCTCCTCGGCGTTGTCGTCTGTGCCCTCTGCATCGGCGGCTGCAGCGCCGTTCCACTGGATACCGTCCACAGCAGTATCAGTCAAGAACATATCCCGGGATGCAGTGGCGCTGCTGCTGGCGCGCAAGGGAGGGCAGTACCCCCACACGCTCATCCTCCAGTCTAGGCCCGCCCCGCCCTCTGCTGCCCCTCTTCCTCCCCTTGCTTCTCCCCCTGCCTCCGACCACCCTGCCGCTGCTGTTGCCTCTTCCTCTGCCCCTGCTGCTCCCGCTGCCGGGTCTGCTGCTGCTGATTCTGCCAGCGTTCAGGACGCTGGTGCTGGCGTGGGGGAAGGGGAGGAGCATGGGGTGCGAGAGGAGGGTGGGGAGGGGAGGGAGAATGGAGTAGCTGAGGGGTTGGAGGCGAGGGGGTATCCAGGGGCGGATGAGGAAGGACGAGGGGTAGATGGGCTAGGTGGGGTGGGAGGGGAAGGAAGTGCAGGAGGGGAAGGCTCCACAGGGGCAGGGGGGGGGCGAAATCGGGGAGAAGAAGGAGGGGGAGTGGATGGCAGAGGGGGAGAGGGTAGAGAGAGGGAGGGAGAGGGGGTTGAAGCAGAGGGACATGGGAGGGGAGCAGCAGCACAGGAAGGGGGAGGAGTGGGGCGGGTGGTGTGGGAGGAGGTGGGAGGAGGCAAGCCGTGGTTCTATTTGGTTGATGTGAGACGGTTCGATGAGCGTGTGCTGTATGGTGGGATACCCGGCTCCGTGCACATACCAGGTGAGGTTCATGATATGATATGATATGATTGAATGCATGATGCAATGCAGTTATCCGTGCCTCCATGCATGCAACCATCCGTGCAGCCATCCGTGCAGCCATCTTTACACCAGCTGCTTGAGCCTTGCACACAGTCGACACACCCCACCCCAGGCCACTTTACCGCTCTTCCCTCATCCCTCTCCTCTCTGCTCATCCACCCGACGCCTTCTCATTCCTTTCCGATCCCTTCTCTCCCTGCTCCTTTCTGTCACTGCCACCTGTCATCCACCCCCACTGTGCTGCACTGGCCAAATTTCAAGCCGACAGAAAAGTCACTTACCCCTTGTGTGGCTGCTCGTTGTTGTGCCTGTCATGTCTGTCACTCACCCCCACCGCACTGCTGCACTGGCCGTATATGGCCATGGGAGCAGCGGAGGTGTGGCCAGTGGCACTGTCACTGGGCGAGGAGGCATGGAAGCAGCGCTACCAATGGCCCAAGATGGAACCCCACTCCCTGCTCATCCTCCACTGTATGCTCCTCTCCTCCCGATTCATTCCTCGCTCTCACCTCACCTCCTGCCTCCTCAATTGTCACTCCCCTGCCGGCTGTCCGGCCGTGTGGCCTGTCCTGTCGCCTCTCTCACTGAATATTGTGCTGCGTGTGCCGCATGTTGTATCATTGCAGCTTTGATCCTCACACAGGTGTATGACGGTGGCCTTTGTCTTGTGGCCCCTTCGTCTCACTCCACTACTCCTCCCTTCCATCCTCCCATGCCTCCTCCTCTCTCGCCCCATCTCCCCCTCCCTCGCCCTCTCCCTCTCGTCTACCTCGCAGCCAACACGGGACCTCGAGCGTATTGGGCAGCACAAGTGGCACGAGATGCAGGCTACAACAGGTGGGTCAATATGGTCCCATGCTCACGTGTTTCATCTCAGGTGAGTTGTCCTCAGGTGTTTCAACTCAGGCGAGTCCCCTTCAAGTGTTTCCATCTCAGTTGAAACATAGACTCCATGTTGGAATAGTTCAGGTCACCTATACTACTGCTGCCACACTGCACGCCTGCTGCAGCTACCACTCTGTGCTGCTGCTATGTGTTTGCCCGCGTTTCTTCCCATTCACACATCCCTCTTTACTCCTCCCTATCCCCATCCCCATCCCCCTCTCCATTCCTATCCTCATCCCCCTCCCCACCCCTGCATGTGGTCGGTCGCGTAGGTGCTTTGTGATGCGGGAGGGCACACACGGGTGGCGCCTGCACCCCTCTGTCTGCGTCTATGACGACTATCCCGAGGTACCTGCTCCCCTTCTTCCCCCCTTCTCTCCTGCTCTCCTGATCCCCTGTTCTCCTGCTCTCCTGCTTCTTCACCTCCCCTCTGCACCATCTCTAAGTGCCACAACACGCCTTGTGTCTAGCCGCACACCACCCCAGCCAACGCTCTCCCTCTCTATCTCCCCCTCTTCCCCTCTCTCCCTCCCCCCCTCCCTCCATCCCTCCATGGCCTACCTGTGGAGCAGGGGGGAGAGCCACCGGCACCGCAGTCATTCGCAGTGGAAGCAGTGGATGAGGGCATGGCAGAGCAACAGCAGCAGCACCTCAGGCTGCTCCCTCACCTTTCCCCCCTCTTGCTCTGCCTCCTTCCCTCCCTCCCCTCCTCCCTCCCTCCCTGCATGCTCTACCTGTGGAGCAGGGGGGAGTGCCACCAGCACCGCAGTCATTTGCAGTGGAAGCAGTGGATGAGGGCATGGCAGAGCAGCAGCTCAGGCTGCTCGGCATTGCTCTCTGACTCCAATGAAGTCCATGCTCGCTCCGCGCTTGCACACCTGCTACTGTTTGGCTGCTGCCGCTACTACTGCATTGGCTGCTGCTGCCACTGCTGCTGCTTGTGTTCTGATGCCACTGCTGCTACGGTACTTCTGCTGCTCCTGCTCCCCATGTTGCTCCAACGGTGTTGCTTTGCCAGCTGTAAACAGTGACCACGACCGCTGCTGACTCGTTCAGACTCCTGCAACACGTGGCTGCTAGCTTGAAATCGGTTCTCGCATGCTGGCACTTTTCTAAACTTGAATCATCAACAACTGCAGGAGAAAAATTGCTATACAGATAATAATCTAAGTGCAACTATAGTAGCCACGGCTGTGCATGGAAGCAAATTCTGTAGAGATGTAATGTAGCTGACAATGTACTAGTACCAGTAATTATTGTTTACTGCAATGTGTGCTAAGGTGTGTTGGCCAGCTCCTCGCCTTCCCTCCCACCCATTGAGAACACTTAATATTCGTTGGCCATAATGACATTAAACATGGTCCAATAAACCCGACCCATAGTAGTCAAATCAAGCAAGAAGCAACATCCGTCAAGAACTAAACTACTCAGCAGCATTGAGACAGGAGGCTGTGTGTAGGGCAGTGCACACCCTTCCAGCAGTCTCCCCTCCACCCCTCCTCCCCCTCCGTCCCCTCCGTCCCCTCCGTCCCCTCCTCCCCTCCTCCCCTCCTCCACTCCTCCATGTCCCAATAACCAACACACCCAGCGCATCACATCATCATACCAGATGTCATTCCGAACCGAGTCACAACTCACGAGTCAAGTCACACCATCACCTGGCTGCTCGTTTGGGCAGCGCTGGACGATGCTTGCCCAGACTGCCCTGCTACTCCTCCCGCCTCTGCTGCCATTACCAAATCCCCCGACCCTTGTTGCTGCTGCATTTGCTGCTGCTGCTGTAACTGCTGCTGCTGCTGCTGCTGCTGCTGCTGTGCAAGAATCTGTTGCATGGCCATTTGTTGCAGCACCTGCTGGGGCTGGGGGCATTGCCAAGGAAGGAGTGTGCGCACGATGCCATCACATGCCGGGAGGGAGGGTAGAAAGATGAGAAGATGAGAAGTTGAGACGATGAGAAGATGATGACAAGATGGGAAGTTGAACAGATGAGAAGATGAGAGGACGAGAAGATGGGAAGATGAGAAGTTGAAGACATGAGAAGATGAGAGGATGAGAGGATGAGAAGATGAGAAGATGAGAAGAGCTTAGCAGAGCAGCAGGACATAGGGCAGGGCAGAGCAACCAGGGGACGAACGCGACGTGTATACGGTACCACTGAGCAGAGAGAGGGGAGAAAACAGAAAGAAAAGAGACTTCTCACCCCCCGTAACCCCGTCCGCAACTCAGCTCAACAGGAACAGTGCCCCGGTTAGCAGCACCCGTCGTTCGTTCTTCTCATCGCTGGATGGACCAAACCCAGCAACCCACCCAGATGCAGCAGGCGGGAACAGAACACACAGGAGGGAGCTACAAGAAGCCAATTGGAAGGGAGGAAGGCGGGATGGGAGTATGCGAAGCCGATTCAGGGGAGAGAAGCGAGAAAGGAGACCTGGTGCAGCGCGTGCAGGGTATGGTGGGTCTGGGTACCTGCTGTGTCTGTGGCTGCGCCTGCACCTGCGGCTGCTCCTGCGTCCATGCGAGGGACGCCTGGCTCATGCGGTAGTAGGGCTCCTTGAGATCCAGCTTGCCGCTTGATGTCTGCAACACGCCCCCCACTGTGCCGTCTGGGCTCCATGCATGGGCTGCCAAGTGCGTAAAGGGGGGTTGGGGATGGAAGGGGAAGGGGAAGGGGAAGAAGAAGAGGAAGGTGAAGGGGAACATGAAGGGGCGGACAAGGGCTCCTTGAGATCCAGCTCGCCACTGGACGTCTGCAGCACTCCTCCCACCGTACCGTCCGGACTCCACGCATGGGCTGACAACGCGTTTGGGGGTGGGCATGGGTTCATTGTTATTATTTTGAACGGGGGAAGGGGAGAGGGAAGGGCAGAGGCAGAATGAAACGGAAAGTAATGAATAGGACAAGAAACCGGGGAAGCATTTCTGAAAAGGTAGTTTATGCCATGCAAGCATGTCCTTCAACCGCGTGCTGTTGCTGTTGCGATCAAGGCGACAGTCGAAACAGCAAGCTGCCGTCTCAAAGAGAGAAGCGCAGGGAGGAGGCGAAGGAAGAGAGAGGGGGAGGGGGCGGACAGTGCAGGAACATGGACAGCATGAGGGCAGCGAGGAAAGGAAGGAGGGAGCGGGCAGAGAGGGCGCTTACTGGAGAGGGTGAGGTGGATGGTGTAGCTCTGCGCGCTGTGTGCAACGAGGTGCAGCCGACCTGTGATGAGCTGGCCGGCAAAGACGTAGAGCGGCTGTGCGAGTACGCAGCGCAGCTGGTACCAGTGCGTTGTGGGCGCCCCTGGCGCTGTTGATAGCCACCTCTGCACCACACTGCGGGATCGTGGCAGACAGGCAGGCAGGCAGGCAGAGAAGCAGGCAGGCAAGAAGGCAGGCGGGCAGGCAGGAGGGCGGGCGGGCGGGGACAGGTAGGCATGCGATGGTGGGAGAGGAGGTGGGGCAGGGTGAGGGAGAGGGATGGATCGTTGACGATGTGCAGCGAAAGCGGAAGTCCAGCACAGACGCACAGACGCACCTGCCACTGAAGAGCACGTCGAACCAGCATGCGAGGCCGTGCAGGCGCGCCGCCATGGTGGACTTGAAGGACAGCGGTATGTCCAACTCGAACAGCTCACCCTCCTGATGTGTGTGTGTGTGTGTGTGTGTGTGTGTGTGTGTGTGTGTGTGTGTGTGTGTGTGTGTGTGTGTGTGTGTGTGTGTGTGTGTGTGTGTGTGTGTGTGCACGCGCGCACGCATGCTCACATGCATGCACAGGTGACCAGATGCAGACGTGTGCACGCACGCACGCACGCACAAGCACACAGAGGGCCGAAAGAATCATGACGTGAGGTGACGCAACGAGCGATGCAGGCAAGAACAAAAAAAGTAACACGGGGCAGCAGAGAGGCAGGCAAGGAGGTGGGCGAGAAAGAGCCTCCCAACCTGGAGGAGTCGTGTACGCTCTTATCCAACAATCACCTGTGAGATCACCAGGGATAAACAGGTAATTTCTCCACAAACCCAATGGAGAAAGAGTGGCAAGATGGAGAGAGGGGAATGGGGGAGTGGGGGGGAAGAGGGGGGCGAGATGGAGCGGGGTGAGGAAAAAAAGGAGAGGGAGTGAGAAGCGGAGGGGAAAGGGGAAGAGGGGCATTTGCGGGGCCGGGGTGCACCTGGATAGTGCTGAAGTCGATGGTGTGGGCCGTGCTGGGCGCTATGAGGATGCGCGGGTCAAACGCATCCACCACCGGCTGCCGTGCAAGGGCCACGGAGAGAGAGAGAGAGAGAGAGAGAGAGAGAGAGAGAGAGAGAGAGAGAGAGAGAGAGAGAGAGAGAGAGAGAGAGAGAGAGAGAGAGAGAGAGGGAGTGCGGGAGGAGGAGGAGGAGGGACGAGGGACGAGGAATGGGAGTGGGAGGGGGAGGAAGAGGGCGAGGGGGAGCGGGAGCTATGAGGACGTGGGAAGGAAGAATGAGATCTGTGAAGCGAAGGGGCGGATTTTCCCCCCTAAGAAGCATATGGAGACGGTTCTGGAAAGCATGGTGGTACGGGTGGCGAGCACGAGAGGTGTAGCTAGGCCTAAAAAATTCACCGACAGACTGGAAACACATCCCATCCCATCCATTCCCTTGCCCTCCCCCATTGTCCTGCTCCCTGTCCCCCGCTCTGCCATGCGCTGCCCTGGCCTGCCCTGACATGGGCCATGGCATGCATGGGGAGGCGTAGGCAGGTGCGAGCACACACACGCACCTGGGCGAAGTAGCCGTTGAGTGCGTCGCCATGCAGGGGCGTGAGATCCACTCCGTAGTAGCTGCGCTGCTGCCAGAAGAGCGCCTGTGGTGAGTGGACGCAAGCGGAGGAGCAGGGAGAGGGAGAGAAGGGGGAAAGGGCGAAAGGGAGAGGAGAGGGTGAGGGAGGCAGGCGCGGAGTATAGATGGAGAGAGGACAGAGAGGAGAGAAGAGCGAAGCACATGGGCAGAGGAGAGCAATTGGAAGTAGTGCGGTGCAGGCGGGTTGTTGTGATGATGCATGCGCGATGGGGGTATGGAGAGCGAGGACAGAAAGCTCCACATGATGGTCAAGCATGCATGTGCTGCGGGGAACTGTCGGTCTTCTATATGGAATAGAAACATGCTGGGATCCGAAAGGGAATAAAAAAAGGACAGAAGAAACAAACAGGCAGACAGTTTTTTTTGTTTTTTTGTTCAAGATATACAAAAAAACCCCACCCAAACCCAAACCAGCATGTGTCACATCCACGTCAGCAGCAGTACCTTATTGGCCATCTCCACGTAGAGGTACTCGTCAGAGAAGGGTGCCACGTGGATCCTGATGAGGAGGACCAAGACACGTGGCAGGGGACAGGGTTTAGGGCCGGGGAGAGGTGGGGGGGAGCAAAAAGACCATGCATTGCGGGAAGCAAGAGGATGGGGAGAATCGGCACTCGTACGAGCCTGCCGTGTCTGCCAGCACTGAGACGGGAGAAATGAGCACCAGCCAGGCGTGCGATGTTCCCGAGGCAAGCAGGTTCAAGGAAACACGGATTGCACTCACTTCGACACAGCACGAACCACACCCTAGCACCACATCCCGTGCCCATGCCCGTACGCGTGTAACCCCCCGCACCTGCCAGCGCTGGGGAACATCTTGCCGCCGGGCTTGAGGAATCGGTTGCGCGCGATCACGTACGTCTCCAACATGCGCTCGTTCACCAGCAGCGTGCCTGCCCGGGTCACGGCGCGGGGGGGGGGGGCAGGTCGGGGAGGTGGGGCAGGGGCAGGTGGAGGAGGTGGGGGAGGTGGGGGAGGTGGAGGTTGCATTTTGAAAGATTGGGGATAGGACGAAACGGACGCAATGAGCTTGGGATTGAAACGGAGGGCGGTGAGATGAAACGGGACTGACTGACCCATGGGTTCGGAGATGAGAACGTCTGCCTGGAAGGGCAGCGACACGTCTTCCGCCTTGCCGTGTATTATCTGCCGCCCATCGGTGGGTGTGCGGGTGCATGTGGGGGCGTGCGTTCGAGAGATGGGCGGAAGAGGGAATGCGGAAGGGGATATGAAAGGGGAGGAGGGGGCAGCAAGAAGCGCACGGGGGGAGGGGGACATGGGAGCGCGGCGGAGGCACTGGGGGAAAATGCGCAGGGGCGGTTGGGGTTTAGGGGAGAGAGAGTGGGAAGGGAGAGGGAAGAGGAAGAAAGTACAGTACAAAGGAGAGACGAGGCGGCGAGCGAAGAGGGAGAAGTGCCAGTACTCAAGGGAAATGGGACGAGCTGGGCATGCGGTGGGCATGCGGTTGGCATGCGGTGGGCATGGGGTGGTGCGTGCGTGAGAGGGGCGGGCACTGACAGTGATGTTCTGGCCCAGCAGCGGGTTGCCCGCCGCGAGCTTGGACGCGTGGTGCGCCATGTTGCTCGCCTCGATCGCGTACACGTGCTTCGCCCCCGCCTGCTCTCCCCGCGCGCGCGCGCACACACGAACGCACGCACGCACGCACGCACGCACACGCAGAGCGCGGGGAGAAAGGGGGGAAGCGCCATGCGCGGAGAGGGAGGAAGCGAGGTGAGTGGGAAAGGAAAGGGAAGGTGCGGAGCGGGAGTGGGCAGGGCAGGGGGAGCGGGAAGGGTAGGGGGAGCGGGCAGGGCAGGGGGAGCGGGCAGGGCAGGGGGAGCAGCGCGCACCCGGGCGGCGAAGAGGCTGAGGATGCCGCTGCCCGCGCCCACGTCCACGACGATCTTCCCCTCAAAGTCCGCGCGGTTTTCCATCACCGCCGCGTAGTACGTGCCTGCGCGCGCGGGGAGGCGCGGGGGGAAGCGGGAGGGGGGGGGGGGGGGGGGAGGGGAGCGGAGGGCGGGGAGCGGGGGGGTGGTAGGGGAAAGGGAAGGGGAGGGGAGGAGAGCGTAGGGGAGAGGGAATGGAGGGAGGCGGGTGAGGAGGCGGGAGGTGCGGGGAGTGGTGGTATGGTCCGCGCGTCCGCCCGTCGGCACACATGGGATCCAATGCCCGCAAGGCCTTGCGCCCGCACGCACAGTGCGTGCCGACAAGGGGGACGCGCGCGGAGGCGGAGAGGGACGGAGAGAGGCGGAAAGAAGCGGAGAGAGGCGGAGAGAGGCGGAGAGAGGCGGAGACGGGCGGAGAGGGGTGGAGAGAGAGAGGCGCGCACCTGTGCGGACGTAGTCCTGCAGCATGTTCTGCTGGTGCAGCAGCTGGCCGTAGTAGTGAAAGTACATCTTAGCACTGGACGCCTCGATCTTGCGATCAAACGCACTCGCGCCCGCCTCGCCATCGCCACTGCCGCCGCCAGCACCAGCACCAGCGGCAGCGGCAGCAGGAGCAGGAGCAGTTGGAGCAGTGCCGGTCTCTTCTCGGGCCTCCCCTGATGCCACGCCGTTCTGATGAATGCCCCCTCCTTCACAATCCACGCTGCCTGCTCCCGCTCCCACTGCTGACCTGCCACCAGCACCAGTACCACCACTAGCAGCAGCAGCAGCAGCAGCAGCAGAGGCAGCGGCAGCAGCACCGCCCGTGGCAGCAGCAGCAGCGGAGGTGGGCGCGGAGCGCGACTGCCAGGAGGCGAGGGCGCGCGCGAAGGCGTCCGCCTGCGACGAGAGGAGGAAGCGCACGGAGTAGGCTGTCGCGAGCGCGGCCGGCGGAGACGCGGGGGACGAGGCGGACGGATACGGCGGCGGACACGCCGAGAGCGCGGCGGACGGGGGCTGGCGCGGCTGGGAAGCCGGCGTGGTGAAGTGGGGGCGGTTCGGGGAGAAAGGCACGGGGGAAGGTGGGGGGAAGGTGGGGAAAGATGGGTGCGGCGGTGAAGGATTAGATGAGGCATGGGAGAGGGAAAGACGGGTGCGGAAGTGAATAAAAGGAGAAGGGGAGTGCACAAGCTGTGAGGAGGAGAGGTGTGCTAGGTGGATCACCGATACATGCTTGTACCAACACGCATATATCGATACATGGACCGTTTTAGAGGTGTGCTGGGTTCTGGTTTTACACGGAGTCAGGAGGACAAAGAAGGCAGGGGGAGGGGAAGCACGTACGTTTAAGGGAGAAAGAATATGAGGAGGAGGAGGAGGAGGAGGAGGAGGAGGAGGAGGAGGAGGAGGAGGAGGAGGAGGAGGAGGAGGAGGAGGAGGAGGAGGAGGAGGAGGAGGAGGAGGAGGAGGAGGAGGAGGAGGAGGAGGAGGAGGAGGAGGAGGAGGAGGAGGAGGAGGAGGAGTGGGAGGAGGAGGGGGAGGGAACGTACTTGCGTGGCGGCTGTTGGAAGCACGAGGATGAAGGCATGCGGGCTAACCCGGTGGACCTGCCACCATGCAAACGCAATGCAAGGCAATGAAAGGCAATGCAAGGTAATGCAAGGTAATGCAGAGCGACAGGTGATGGAGTGTGGTGCGACATCATGATGCTGGCTCAAACTAATGTGCTGGTACATTTGAGTCGCCTCAATGTGCGGGCACGTGAAGGAGTCAGTGCGACGTGACATGGGCATGCAGGAAGAGGTAGCAAGGGCCGAGGCTGGGGAGCAAAAACAGTATTACGGCAGAAGAAAATCTCCCCTTCGTCTACTTTTCTCCCTTCTGTCTTCACCCCCTGTCCTCCTTTTCACCCCACTGTCTCACTGCAGAGAATCCTTGGTGCTTCGTTTGCCTTTGATCCACTATTGCTCCCACGAGGCGTCTCAGTCCCTCCCTCCTATCGCCACCTCACCTGGCAATCCGACTCCACTTGAAGGATCGGATCCACGATCGACCCGTCTCGCACACCGTCGTCGCCATTACCGTCCACACCGCCGCCTCTGGTGCCTCCGCCGCAGCCGCCGCCGCCGCACGCGGCTTCCTCGGAGAGGCCCGAGTCGTCGGTGATCATCATGGCGGCGGGCGCGGGGGGGCGCGGGCGGAACTGCAGCACGGATCTGCCGTCCGCGATAAAGACGGCCTCGACATCGCGGTGGGCGTCCCACGAGGACGTGGCGGGATTCATGCGCGAGAGCATGACGTGGCGAAAATTCCAAGCCATGGCTGCTGCTGCTGCTGCTGATACTACTGATGCGGCGGCAACGGAGCAGTGCTATTAGTAACCGTCACTGGGAATGAACGCAGCAGCTTAAGTTTTCGTTAAGAGAGAAAGTGGGTGAGGGAGGAAAGATACAATAACGGATTACTCGCTGTGGCTGTCACGTCTGCCGGCGCCGTTCTAACTGCAGCAGTAGCCGCGGGTCCAGAGCCTACGCCGTGCTTTGATGATTGCCCGCTTCTTTGAGATCGCCAGCTCGACAAATGACTCGTCGAGCAAGGTTTTTTTTTTTTTTTTTTTTTTTTTTTTTTTTTGAACTCTCAGAAACGCCCCTTCCACCGCCGCCTTTTGGTGTCGCGGCACAAAACGTGGCCGCGATCCGTGATTGATCGGCGATGCGCGACGAGGACGCACGCAAGGACGCTGCGTCGTCCCAATCCGTCGACCTCCTGCACGAAGAATTACTAGTCCCGGTAGTCACGGATTTCCGTGATCGCCGGCGATCCTTCGTAAAAGCCACTGCAGGATCAATTTCCGCCACGGATCAGCAAGAAATGATGGGATCGCAAGGGAGAGAGAGGTGGGGTGGAAGTCGCACGGGAGCGCTCCTGACGCCGTCGAGAGCTCAGAGAGTCGCAATGGCCGGCGGTATCGACGGTAGATGCTGTATAGACGTGTGCAAGATGAGACAAAGAGTCGAAAGGTTTCGCCGCTACTAGAAAGATTGGCGAGGTTTTTTTTTTTAACAACAGTCCGCCTCACAATAGTGCCAACGCGGTGAACCTGGCTGATAACACGGCAATCGTCTCGCTGTGAGAGTCACTCGTTCGCTCTCGTTCTACCGCGCAGTAGTTGGTGATTGGAGGTGTCAGCAGGGTAGCTGATGGGGGTGGAGTAGTGGGAGGGAAACAAGGGAAAGAAATGATGGCTGCTGCCTGATTTCCTGGTGCTTGCTCACGCTGCAATGGTGGTTCTTGTTGCTGCTCAACCCATCTCTAGAGCGCGCCCGACCAACCAGAAAATTTTGTGATTCTTCTCCCATGACTCGTTTCACACAGGTTTTCCCTTATGCGATGGACTGACCAAGCGTGCTTGCTGTGGGGAAAAACAAATTCCTCACCGTCGGGTTCGCCCTTGCCGCACCGCCTTTTGCCCCACACGCGGGTTCTGGGGTCGACGGGAGGAGGATGCTTGCTCGGCATGCGAGTCTCGCGGACGTGGCGCCGATTCGGACGAGCTGCGCTGGAATGAGGGAGATAGGCAGGAGGTAAGGGGAGGCATGTTAGCTCAGATCGGACGGCTGAGATCCTGGAAAAGACATCCATCATGAAGATATTTTCTCAGTTGAAAAAAGTGCATGCCAGGTGGCGGTGGAAAGGAAGGGCGGGTGTAGCCAAGCGTTGAGCAACCAGCGGTAACCGAAGGTACAGTATAAGGGGGCAGATAACGGTCAGATGGGTGATCGGTTGTTCTGTTCTGGCAGAACGTAAACCAGTACACTAAAATCGCTTGAGAGGTGCAAGTACAGTGACCGGCTCTTCTGTTTCAGGCATGCTTAGCAAACAAATGTTCAAACAGTACTTTCAAGTGTGTAAAGTGAGAGTGGCGTGGCAGACGTGCAACTTCAAAGGGGTTCAGGAAAGTCGATCGACGTGGCTGATCAGTACCATCTCAGCATACCCTTTTCCTTTAAGTCGCAAGCGACGCGATCAAAATCTTGCACTTTATTCCAGCAATGAAACCAAAAAGCGCGCTTCAATTTGGCTGACCTGGAATTTCGAATGGTGGAGGTGCTTCGTCATTCCCTGAATCAAAACCTCATCTGGCCACGACTTGCGGGCACGAGTTTCGCAGGGGGGCGCCTTGTGCATGCATTTGATATTTTCCAAATTTCATGGAAACTATCTTCAGTTGGCATGATATTTCTTCGTGGGCAGTTCCATAACAAGATGACTATTGGTTCTAGAAACATGCAGAAAGTTTCAAACGTGCGATACTTTCAAGTGTGACAAGTATGGGATGGTTACAGTGATTCCTCATTACTGTTCAAGGTCAGTGGAAACAGGGCCACAGGAAATTCATATGCACAGTGAATAGGTTAGCGAACAGCTAATGTATATGTGTAAGGAAAATCCCTTTTTCCTTACTTCGCGTCCCTGCTCAACGCGTACATCACTGTAGCACCACAGTCAGCACCGTTACCACTCGCAATCCTCGCATCGACAATCCGCCCTCCACTCTCGCACGTCGAACCCCGACCTCACGGCTCAGCGAGTAACCCGCGCTCCGGGCCTCCGCTTCGACACTTTTCCCAACCTCAATCCCAGGCCCGTCGCGCGACAACCACAGTCCATTACCGTTACCACTGTAGTTTCGCTATATATTCTTCGCTCATGCCTTCGCTCATTGTACTCTTGCTTCGATAGTGCAATTCTCGTTCGTTCACTCAATTGCACTCGTAGCACTTGGTATTCAGCGCCTACGATCTCTTCTCAGACCGCACCCACATCTTCACTTCCCCACTGTCTCAATTTTTGAGGGGGGGTAGACGTCCCTCAGCGACACAGCACCGCCGCTCGTAGTGCTCTCTCGTAAGCACGCCAACCACGACCGAGGCTCTCGCTGAGCTCGCCCGACACCCCCGCCATGGCCGAATTCACGCTCGCCACATTGAAACAGGAACAGCTTGACCGTCTTGTGCGCCAACTTGAAGATTCGGCGCTCGAAATTGCAACGCTCACGGCGGAACGTGACTCCGCACGTCAGCAATCCACGATGAACATTCCAGCGCCACCACACGCACCGACAAATGCATCTGCACAATCGGACGAGCCGATCGTCATTTCGTCCAGCACACCAACGCAACACGACAGCGTGGGACAGCGCTCAGGCGCAGCCAGTGATGGCGCCGTCGAGCCGATGCCTGGCATGGGAGGAAACAGGGTCGCACCAAGCCCGCGGGAGCCTCGTGAAGCCCGTCGGCACGTGGAGTTCGCGGCGACAAGTGGCGAACAGGCCATTATGGCACCCATGCCACTCAAGCCGCAACACCCGCCCTGCTTCGACCCAAGCCAACATGGATGTCCGACGGTTCAATCGTGGGTTTTCACGATGAACGTCTTCTTCGACGCGAATTACGTTGAGTCGGACGCAGCGAAGATTCGGTATGTCGTTTTTCTGTTAAGGGGCCCTGCCATGGACTGGTGGCGAGTCATCGTGACGTCGCCACACGCCTACGAGCCACCGTCGCAAGAGGAAGGGCCCACGGGTCCAGCTGTCACCTGGAGTTCATTCTGCGAGACCGCCCAATACAGCACGTGGGATGCGTGGTGCGCAGGGCTTCGGGCGCGCTTCGAGCCGATCGCGGCTTCTATTTCGGCGCGTCAGAGATTGCGCACTTGGCGGCAGCTCGGGTCGGTTCAAGATTACATGAGCGGTTTTCTCGCACTTTGTGAGCAGGTCGGCTACATGCACGAAGCGGAGCGGGTGGACCGTTACGTCGGAGGGCTGAAGCCGGATATGTCGCACTAAATCATGTTGCGCGGACTCTCAAACTTCAACGAGATTCTCGCGCTCGCCGAGAAAATCGACATTCTACGCCGACCGAGACCGGGGTCCTACCACGGACATCGTCCCCGGGGACCGATCGAGCACGCCACTGTAAACGCTGTTGCAACGAATGCAGCTGCCGCACCGTTTAAGGGGCGCTGCTTTGCTTGCAACAGACCGGGCCATCGCAAGAGCGAATGCCCAGAGGAGCTAAGGCGCCGCGGAGCAGAGCAGGGGGGGGAGTCTCAAAGGCAGGGAAACGCCAGCAGTCAGTAGAAGTTGGGCCAACTACTGACGAGACTGCCTGCTAGCCCAACCGCACCGACCCTCACCGAGTCACAGTACCGATTCACGCCATCGATCGGGCTCGGATGAATAAGGAGGGTACAACGACGGATTGCCCAGTACTGATCCACGGGAAAATATAGGGAGCAGCAGTGAAGACTTTTATCGACGAAGGAGCTAGCCACAGTTTTGGGTTTACACAGGAAATGCTCGCAACGACACTGGATGGGCACGATATTTTACTAGGACGTGATTGGCTGCGACGGTATAACCCGCGAATTGACTAGACGACGGGTAGCTGCACCATGCGAAGTAGTGGTAACTGGGTCGAGCTACCTCGCTGGCGGGCGTCCGAGTCTTCAACGGTCCACGTCAACGCCATCAGGATGAAACGGGTTGTCGCCGCTGGAGCTGACGTGTACGCAGTAGATATAGCATTAGTAGGAGAAGCAGAGCAGCCGAGCGATTTCCAGAAACTGTTGGCAGCAGTACCGCCCGAACTACAGGAACTGTTGAAACGGTACCCAGGGATTTTTTCAGACGACTTACAGGAAGGGCTGCCACCTCAGCGGGCGCATGATCATAGGATCGAGTTAGCACCGGGGGCACAGCCAACCGTATAGCGCCAGTTCAGATTGACACAGCCCTAGCTCGACGAACTAAGGAAGCAGTTTGATTATTTGTAAGAGAAGCAGTTTATTCGACCAAGTTTGTCACCGTTCGCCGCCGCGATACCGTTCACACCGAAAAAAGAAGGAGCGTTTCGCATGTGCATCGATTACCCAGCGCTCAACAGGGTAACAATCAAGTCGCGGTACCCCATTCCCCGCGCCGACGAATTGATCGACCAACTGCGAACAACACGGGTGTTTTTGAAAATCGATTTACGGGGGGGTTACCATCAGATTCGGGTGGAACCATCGGACTGCGCCAAGACAGCATTTAGGACTAGGTACGGGTCGTTTGAGTACACGGTGATGCCTTTCGGGCTGACCAACGAGGCGTTTAGGCCACTCTTAGATAAATGCGTGATAGTTTACCTCGAAGACATCCTCGTCTACAGTCGCGACAAGCAGCAGCACTTAGCGGATCTCGAAGCAGTATTTAAAGTTTTAGAGGAACATCGGTTACTCACCAACGGCTCTAAGTGCGAGTTTTTTCGGGACATACTATAATTTTTGGGGCACGTTATTTCGGAGGCTCGAGTTGAAATCGACCCAAAAAAGATAGATACGGTGAAAGCGTGGCATCCCCCGTCGAACATCACGGAGCTGCAGAGCTTTTTAGGGTTCGTTAATTATGTGCGTCGGTTCGTCCCCGATATGGCACAGATAACTGCCCCACTGACGGATTTACTGCGAAAGGGGGTTGCTTGTACGTGGGGGGAGAAAGAGCATGCTGCCTTCTGTTCCCTGAAAATGTTCTCTGTTCACCGCCCGTCCTGCGCATCGCCGACCCACACCGCCCCTTCGAAGTTGTTACAGACGCAAGCGACACCGCCATTGGAGCCGTACTGCTACAGGACTTGGGCAACGGCCTACAGCCCATCTCATACGAGTCACGAAAAATGCATCCGCCCGAGTAAAATTACCCGATACACGACCGCGAAATGCTCGCGATCGTGCATGCATTCAAAGTGTGGCGCTGCTACTTGACCGGCGCAGACGTGACAGTACGGACAGACCACCGATCACTACAGTACCTCCGCACACAGCCCCAACTCAACCCACGACAGATTCGGTGGCTCGATTTCCTCGAGTCAAACTTCCACTACACAGTCACCTATAAAACAGGAGCCTCAAACATCGCCGACGCACTGACCCGCCCCACTGCCCAGATCCACGCGATACTACTCGCCCAGACCAGCCCGCTACTGACAGGACAATTTACCCACGGATATAAAACGGACCCATTCTTCACAGGAGGAAATTCGCAGCAGTTCGCAGCAGCCAAGGGAGTCTATTACGTAAAAGCCGGGACCGAGCGCATCTGGGTACCTGGTTACACACTGCTACGAGAATTACTACTACAGGAGGCACATGACGGGGTTACCTCGGGACATTTCGGGGTAGAGAAAACACGGCAGCAGCTGCAACGGTATTATTACTGGCCTGAAATGTTGACCGACGTGCAGCGACACGTGGCATCATGTCATTACTATTACATGAGGCACATGACGGGGTTACCTCGCGACATTTCGAGGTAGAGAAAACACGGCAGCAGCTGCAACGGTATTATTACTGGCCCGAAATGTTGACCGACGTGCAGCGACACGTGGCATCATGTCATTACTATTACAGGAGGCACATGACGGGGTTACCTCGGGACATTTCGGGGTAGAGAAAACACGGCAGCAGCGGCTGTATTATTACTGGCCCGAAATGTTGACCGACGTGCAGCGACACGTGGCATCATGTCCCACTTGCCAGATCATGACCGACGGGCGGCGCCAGGCCCGCAGAGGTAGGCGACGGGGCCAGTAGAGGCGGCACCGGGTCGGGAAGGGCGGCGTCGGGGTCGCCGGGGTAGGCGACGGGGCCAGCCGAGGTGGCGCCGGGACCAGGAAGGGCGGAGCCGGAGCCGGGATGGGCGGCGCCGGGGCCGCAGGGGTAGGTGACGGGGCCGCTAGGGCGGCGGATCGGGGCCGCGAGGGCGGCGCGACGCGGCCGCTAGGGCGGCGCGACGAGATGGGGCCGCGACGGGGCAGCGAGGGGTCGCGCGCGGCTCCCCTGGGCGCCGCGACGGGGTAGCGGGGAGTGGCGCGCCTAGAAGGAACGGGGCCGCGCGCCTCGGGGCGCGCGCCAGAGAGAAAATTGCCGCGCGCCAAATAGGTCGCACGCCACGGGGCGTGCGACAGATCGAGTAGCACCGGAAGCAGTAGTACGGCCCACAGGCCAGGAGCATATGTGCTCTGATACCATGTGAAAATGAACGAGAATGAATGAACTATGAAAGAGTTGGGTACAAGTACTAACCCTAATTGGGTTGTACCCCATATAGGCTACCCCACTACAGCCTACACAAAAGCATAAGCTATAATGCTCTGACACTGACTTAGGGTTCCTAGTGCGAGTTCTTCCAGGATTGGTTAGATTTTTTGGGGCACGTTATTTCGGAGGCTGGAGTTGAAATCGACCCAAAGAAGCTGGATACGGTAAAAGCGTGGCATCCCGCGACGAACATCACGGAGCTGCAGAGCTTTTTAGGGTTCGTTAATTATGTGCGTCGGTTCGTCCCCGATATGGCACCGTTAACTGCCCCACTGACGGATTTACTGCGAAAGGGGGTCGCCTTTACGTGGGGGGAGAAAGAGCATGCTGCCTTCTCTGCCCTGAAAAATGTTCTCTGTTTACTGCCCGTCCTGCGCATCGCCGACCCACACCGCCCCTTCGAGGTTGTTACAGACGCAAGCGACATCGCCATTGGAGCCGTACTGCTACAGGACTTCGGCAACGGCCTACAGCCCATCGCATACGAGTCACGAAAACTGCATCCGCCCGAGCGAAATTACCCGATACACGACCGCGAAATGCTCGCGATCGTGCATGCGTTCAAATTGTGGCGCTGCTACTTGATCGGCGCAGACGTGACAGTACGGACAGACCACCGATCACTACAGTACCTCCGCGCACAGCCCCACCTCAACCCACGACAGATTCTGTGGCCCGATTTCCTCGAGTCAAACTTCCACTACACAGTCACCTATAAAAAAGGAGCCTCGAACATCGCCGACGCACTGACCCGCCCCACTGCCCAGATCCACGCGATACTACTCGCCCAGACCAGCCCACTACTGACAGGACTATTTACCTACGGATATCAAACGGACCCATTCTTCATAGGAGGAAATTCGCAGCAGTTCGCAGCAGCCAAGGGAGTCTATTACGTAAAAGCCGGGACCGAGCGCATCTGGGTACCAGGGTACACACTGCTACGGGAATTACTATTACAGGAGGCACATGACGGGGTTACCTCGGGAAATTTCGGGGTAGAGAAAACACGGCAGCAGCTGCAGCGGTATTATTACTGGCCCGAAATGTTGACCGACGTGCAGCGACACGTGGCATCATGTCATTACTATTACAGGAGGCACATGACGGGGTTACCTCGGGACATTTCGGGGTAGAGAAAACACGGCAGCAGCGGCTGTATTATTACTGGCCCGAAATGTTGACCGACGTGCAGCGACACGTGGCATCATGTCCCACTTGCCAGATCATGAAGTCAACACGGAAGCGGCCGGCGGGACAGTTGCAGCTAATCCCACCTCCAGAGCGTGCTTGGCAGCAGGTGACGATGGACTTCGTCACGGGGTTACCGGCCGGGGCGAGTGGAAATGACGCGATCCTGGTCGTCGTCGATCGACTGACGAAAATGGCACACTTCGCAGCCTGCAAAAAATCAATCACAGCCGAAGAAACAGCCCGCCTCTTCATCTCTACCATCGTTCGACTGCACGGGATACCAGCATCAATCATCAGCGACAGAGACACGAAATTCACCAGCAACTTCTGGCGGAACATGTGGCAGCAGTTCGGCACGCGACTACAGTTTAGTTCATCGTACCACCCCGAAACAGACGGACAGACAGAACGGACAAATCAGACCATGGAACAGCTCATCCGGGCCACGTGTGACGACCCAAACACGTGGGAACAGCAACTGCCACTCATCGAATTCGCATACAACAACGCCCCATCCGCCACGACCCAACAGTCACCGTTTTACCTGAATTACGGACAAGACCCAACAGTACCCATGACCCCGAATCCTGACAACCCGGTTCCACGCGCGCAACAGTTCGCCGAAATTTTGCAAGCAGCACGGACCAGGGCAGCAGACGCAATTAGAAAAACTAACGTCATCGCTAAACGCAACGCCGACCGCCACCGCAGACCTGTCACTTACCAGCCCGACGACTTAGTTTTGCTCGACACCCAAAATCTCCGACTGCTCATCACCCCGAAACTCCGCCCCCGATACTGCGGGCCATTTCGCATAAGCCACATGATTACACCTGTCACCGCCCACCTCCTCCTCCCTGCTGACTGGTACGTCAGCCCCTCGTTCCACGTCAGCCTGCTTCGCCCTTACGTCCCGTCCACGAACCAACTGCCACGCAATCGCCCAGCCAGCATGACAAGACCACCGACTGAACCAATCATCACCCCCGAGAAAATCCTGAGTCACAGAGTTCACGACCCTCGAGGAGCCCGAAGGATCGAGTTCTTACTCCGCTGGAGGGACCGTACACCCACCAAAGACAATTGGGTTCCCCTGGACAGAATCGAAAACCACCCCGTCCTCACCGAGTATCTGCGCAACCGGAATTTCAGGGATGTACATGCACTTTCATCACTGTAGCACCATTGTCAGCACCGTTACCACTCGCAATCCTCGCATCGACAATCTGCCCGCCACTCTCTCACGTCGCACCCCGACCTCACGGCTCGGCGGGTAACCCGCGCTCCGGGCCTCCGCTTCGACACTTTTCCCAACCTCAGTCCCAGGCCCGTCGCGCGACAACCACGGTCCATTACCGTTACCACTGGAGTTTCGCTATATATTCTTCGCTCATGCCTTCGCTCATTGTACTCTTGCTTCGATAGTGCAATTCTCGTTCGTACACTCAATCGCTCTCGTAACAATATGCTAGATCGAACTGATTGAAAAAGTTATACTGCTGCTCAAAGAGCATGTTGTAAAATATGTGGCATCTAGCCTGCTCGGTGGTGTTGGAATCAGACTTACAAAAGAAATGAAATATCATGCTAGCATGCATACACTGATGATAAAACATGCCAGATGCATCATCATGGTTTGAAACGAGAAAACCCTACATTCAGGTTGCCTTTCTCCTCCTACACGCTCACGCTCCTTCCTCCCCGCTCGCCTCCCCCTCGCCATCCACGCTTCTGCCGTCCATCTGTGCCTGCAGCAGTGAGCGGTGCAAAAGACTCTCGGCATTGCGGACCGCCTGCAGCAGCGGGGTGCCAGACGGACACGTGGACGCACCGTGCACTGCCACGTGTCCCACTCGGAACCGCTTTCCCTTGTCCTCAAGCCACACGTCAGCATCCCAGTCCTCCTCCGCGCCATGCCATCCCTCCTCCTTGGCCTATCGTGCAACAAGTGTAGTAATTCGGGCGAGACAGAGCAGATTTGGGAGAGGGGAGAGAGTGGGGGGGGTGACGGGGTGACGTGACACGGACAGGAAGGAAGCCTCTCCGGGAGTGATCATGGGGAAACACCAGGATACATGACCGAGATTGATCGAGGAAACTTGAAGTAGCCTACGATGACAACGAAAACAAGCATAGCATCGGAGATTTTGCAAGCGCGACACTTCTAGAGACATACAGATACAGTGAGGGCACAAACACTTTCAAAAATGTTGAACAATCACCACATGACATGGCACTACTCGTTAAATTGCAGACAACCAATCAGATTCCCATGATCAGTTCTCCAAACCCCACCCATGGATAGGAACCAGAGACGCATCCGTTGTTGACTCCTGACAAATGACGACAATACTACTGCTAAAGAGCAAGGGAAGGCACGAACATACTGTAGTGGAATGGAATCAACATCGCTTGCCCCTTGATCCATCACCCCAGCTACTCCCGCCTCACCTGCAACCCGAGAAGAATCTCCGCCACCTGGGCAGCTCGTGCAACGTTTCGGCCTGCCCCGCTGCCCATGGCGGTGGCAGCACCGACGGCATTGGCGAGGGCGAGTGTGGTGGAGGGCCCTTCGTCGCTCAGCAGACCCATGGCCACCGCTGCTGCAAAGCTGTCCCCACACCCCACTGTGTCCGCTACATCCACCTGCAGGCGGGGGCAGCAGGAGTCACAACAGCACGGCACATGCGGACGAGTGAGGAGGGTTGGGGTGAGAGGAAGGGCACAATTGGAAAACTAGGCGAGCAGGGAAAAGAGAGCATACAAGAAAAAGAGAGGTTCTTGAAAGAGGTGGAGCATTGCCAACGGATCGCAAGCAGAGGGAAACACAGCATTTCCACCCCAACCAGCAGCAGAGGAGAGACGCGCAGAGAGACAGGTCAGGACTGGAGAAACCACGGAGGTAAGGCAGAATGTAAAAAGTGGTGGCGTTACCTTGAAGCCAGGGAGGCTGAACACGCCTTGTGCTGCAGTGGCCAGCACACACCCATTCGGCCCCTTCTTCACCGCAACCCACTGTGGCTGCTCCTCCTCCTCCTCCTCTCCTCCTTCCTCCTCTCCTTCCTCCACTCCCTCCCCCTGCTGTTGCTGTTGCTGCTGCTGCTGCTGCTGCTGCTGCTGCTGCTGCTGCTGCTGCTGCTGCTGCTGCTGCTGCTGCTGCTGCTCCTCCTGCTCCTCCTGCTGCTGCTGCTGTTGTTGGTGGTGGTGATTCCATGCCCGGCCGTCCACTGCACCTCCCTCCTCTCGCGCCTCTGAGTCTGCATTCAGCCCAAAGCCCCCAGCGGCAGCAGTGCTGGCAGCAGCCCTGGCCCTGGCCTTACGCTCTAGCAGCTGCACAGCTGATGCGTTGGGATCCTGCTCCTGAGTCACCACCTCCGCCTGAACCGCGCCCATGGGGGACACACAGGTGGCGGTGGCGGGAAGAGAAAGGGAGGGGGGAGGTGGGTGGTTGGAAAGGGGAGTTGAGAGGGAAGGTTGGCCAAGGACGGCTGGAACGGGGAGAGTAAAACTGGGATTTCAAATCGACGGGGAAAAGTGCAGGGGACAAGTGAAACGAGGGGTTGAAACGGGAAACCACAGGATGGTAGTACCAGGATAAGAATGATAGGTAGGGTTCAAACTCCCATGAAAGACATTTAGGCTGTGACACTGCAAAGTTAAGACTCCACTCCAGAAAGAAAAAGATGCAATACACGTGACAGCTTTTTTGAAACGCCTTAGGAAGTGTAACACCATACACACCTCTTCAGACGTGAGCAGAAGAACGTCGCAGTTCATCAGCAGCCAATCAAAAACCTCCTTAGAATGCCCGACTGACCGGAAGAGCGAGCCAGTGCGAGGGCCAGGGTCGAAAAAGACAAGCACGCCCGCCCGTTGTGCGTACTGGGCGGCAGACTGGATGGCGGAGGGCGGGAACTCGTCGAAAGCAAATCCATTAATAAAGAGGGCGCGGGAATGGGCGATGAGGTGAGCGAACGCAGGGGGTATGGCTTGAACGCGACTGAAGGCCGGGTTCTTGTTGAAATCAAAGCGGCTGCAGGGATGGAGAGGGATTGAGGGCGGTGGAAGGACGGGAAGGGGTCAGGGATGGGGACAGGGAGGGGGATGGGATAGGGATGGGGAGAGAGATGGGATGGGGATGGGGATGGGGGTGGGTAGGCGACAGGGGAGACACAGTGAGTGAATAGGGGAAGGGACGACAGGGGGAAATGGCATGATGGCTGGTTGCACTGCTTGACTGGCCCTTGAGCCATGGGCATGACTCTGCAAGTTGCTCTCATGGGAATGACTTGAGATCGGTTCACGTGGGAGTGAGGGAGTGCGGGATAAGGAGGAGGTGGAGGAGGGGAAGAGCGGGAGAAGCTGGGAAGGAGGGATAAGAGGGGATCTGTTGCTTGGGGGAACAAAGCACGAGAACACGAAAGTGCAAGAGCACATCACACGACGACATACAAGCACACAGGCATCACCTGGCGAAGGCATGGCGCCCGTTCTTATCCAGAAACACCCAGCACGCCAGCGTTTCCCCGTCATACCGCCCTTCACTCCTCTCCACCACATCCCCTTCCCCCTCCCCCTCTTTCTCCCCCTCCGCGCCCTCCCACGGCCCATCCCCCAGCGGCCCATCCACGTGGTCCGCGAGCGGGAGCAGCGCGACGCGCTCGTCCGCCATGACGCGCGCGAGGAATGCGCCAAACGCGTCGCCCGCCACGTGGCCGAACGCCGTGCAGCGCAGCCCCAGGCGCGCCGCCGCTATGCCGAAGTTGAGATTGCCGCCCGCCTCCCAGCACGACTGCATGCGCGTGGAATGCGGGCAAGAGGGGGAGGGGACGGGTCAGGGAGGGAAGGGAGGGGGGGTCAGGGGAAGTGGAGAGGTGGCAAATCACTGAAACTCCCGCGCATTCACCCCCACCCACCCCCCCCGCCCCACCCCCCCCCCCCCCCCCCCCCCCCCCCCCCCTCAACCTCCCCTCTTCTCTTCCCTCTTCTCCCCCCCCTCCCCCGCGACTTCCGGGACCAACTCACCTCATTAGGCGGGTTCGCTTTGACTCGCTGCAAAAATTCCCACTTGCCGCGCCGATCGGACGGCGGTAATTCGTCCACAGCCACAAGAACATCCACGCACAGGTTACCTAGGGTTACCACATCCACCAATTTCGTCTCCCCTTCCTGCACCCTCGCTCCTCCCGCCTCCCTGACCGTTTCTTCTTCGTCCTCCCCCTTTCGCGAAAAAATTCGAACAGTCTTCCCTTCGTCCGCGCCCTCCTTCTGACCCGGCAACTCCTGTGCTGCTGCCTCTCGAACCGTCGCCACGCCTGCCGTGGGTTTCGCGGGCTGCGTGCTAGGATCAATGGCGCTGGATTTAACGTCGCTGGCTTTGGCCCCTTCTAGTGTAAGAACGTTGCTGCTACTCGATGCTTGGCCAATGACGTCATCCCGTTGGACGGCTGGATGGCCGTCCCGTTGACGGAGTCCGTTCGGCGAGGCAGCACCGCCGGCGAAATTTCCTAAACGGATTTGCGACGCAGAGCAGGAAACGTGACGAGAGGTTACTGCACGAGCGGCGCGCAAGCGCAGTCTTTGCTGTGTGCACGCATCGCTCTGACGAGCGGCGAGCGGTGGAAGGCGGCAAACTGGTGCGATGGATATCGACATAATGCCTTAATTCAAGCGGTAAACGGCAATTAATTTTCTCGTCGACTAAAATAATCGACTCAGGCGCGCGACTGCGACGGAGAACGGGCGAAGCGCAGCCAAGAAGTGGCCGAGAGGAAAAACTCGCTAACAGTTATAAGAAAGAAGCGCCTGACAACGACTCATAATTCGTCTATTTTTCTCGAAGAATACAGAATCACGCGTCGTCGACGAACATGCGCTGACTGATCGAGATGCGACTCCTTTGGTCCCGATCAGAGAGGGAGCAACGAAAGGAAGGACTGCAAGGGCCGCTTCGTGCTGTCATACGTTACTGAGGCGTGCAACCCCGAGGAAAATGGGGTCGTTGGGAAAGGGGGGGGTGGAAGGGGAGTGGGAGGGGTGGGGGGGTGTTGCGTAGGCTTGTGGAAAAGCTGCCGGAGGAGGGAGGCGACTGTGTGCTGCCTTGCCGGACCTTTTGCCGGTTCGGAAATGGTATTGGCTCGTCTGATTGGGCGTCTGTTTCCTCCTCCCCTCATTACCTGCCACGAGCTTCTTCGAGAACACAGTTCTGCCTGACCACACCGGCATGCCGTCAAGTGTACGATTACAGTGAAGTCAACCCTAGGCGTCAAAATCCACTACTGTGCAAAGATCAGTCCACCATCCCATTCCAGCATGCTCGCTTTCCTGTTATGGCTTCCATGGTCAGTCTACTGACTTGAAACATTATTTCTACAGTACTCACAACATGGTGTCCTGAATTCCTGATGCAAGTACCTGAAAACCAGGTGGCAGAAGTTAAGGTAATAGCAGCACTAAAAACATCAAAGAATCAGCCTACACAGAATCCACCAGTTGCACCTGTCAACAAACACCTTTCCTCCTTCCATACTACCATACTCGTCTCGCGTGCACTACAGCTTGGATGATGTAGCCATGGGAACCACCATGTCCTTCTTGGCGACTTCCAAATACAACGCATCAATCTCCTTCTCAAAGTAGGCCTTTGCTTGGGGCCTCTTGACCTGGGAATCGAAAGGCAGCAAATCAAAGCAGAACACACGCCAGACATCAACAATCCAACCACCTCCAAACTCTCATTACCAAGCATCGCCTCAGAATACCAACTGCGGGAAACAATCAATCAGCACATACCGATGACACAAGTGTGCATCATCCCTGTCTGTCTGTACCTTGAACGTGGGCGTGAGCAGTCCATTCTCCAATGTGAAGGGCTCCGCAACAAGGTGCACCGCCTTCACAAACTCAAAACCACGCAGCTGCAAGCACGCAACAGGCAACATCAGTACCAAATCCAAACACACTGATTAAAAATGGCAGGAAACAAGACCATGCAGATCATCACAAGCATCTATGCCGCCAATGCAATGTTTTGTGCTAGGTTGAAGGAGGCATACCTTGGCCTCCTGGCCCACTCGGTCCATGTCTGCAAGCACTGCAGCCCGTGTTACAGGGTCCTGGCACAGGCGTGGCACATCCTCTGCAAACTGTTGGCCAGCACAGCGGGAAAGGGGATGTGCAGGGAGGAAATGGGGACCCGTAGGTGTGCGTAAATCAACCCCGTGTCGTTGAGGTAAGCAAGGTGAGACCGGGTGGAGGTGGGGTTGGTGGAAAAGAGGAACAAGGAAATCTGGGCACGGATGGTGGTGGGTGGACGGAAATGGCTCACGGGAATGCCTCTGCTCTTGGCCCACGCTGTGATGCCATCAGGATCCACCACCACTATGGCCACCAGATTGGCGTTCAGACTGTCACCTGCCGCATGGCGCAAACAGCGCAGCAGAGAGGAGTTCGCACACAGGAAACACACACAATTACACACAGCCAGACACAGAACACGGATGTGTAAGGAATGACAAGCGGGACGGAATGAAGCCCAGCATAGATGTTGACAGCTTGACTGGTTAGAGCATCCACAGTGGGGGAAAGAGGAATAGAGGGAAGCAGGAGTACAGGGAGGGGCAGCCCACCGTAGACAAAGCACTGCTGAATGAGTGGGCTGCGCAGGTACGTGTTCTCAATCTTCTCCGGTGCCACATACTCGCCCTGCGACAGCTTAAAGATATTCTTCTTCCTGCACACGCCACCACACGACACATCATGCCATGTCTCACGTAAGCCACACCTCATGAAGCTCACATGCATCATGCAAGAATAGCATCAAAAGCACCAGAAAACACGAACCCACCGCACCTCAAGCGTCAAAGGCAGTGACGCACGAACAAGATAGGTCACCTGTCAATGATCTTGAGGCGGCCCATGGGAAGCCATGTGCCGATGTCCCCTGTGTGCAGCCACCCATCCTCGTCTATCAACTCCTCCCTGCGGCATCAGGAGGGCAGGCAAGCAACAAACCATCACGCACAAGAAGGTTGTGATAGACAGGCCAAGGGGATGATCTCTCTCGATTGCTCGAGTCCAGAACAAACAAGAAGTTTAAAGGCTGATGGAAAAAGGGTCCTTGAGATGCTGTACATACGTCTGCTTGGGGTCCTTGTAGTATCCCTTGATGATCACGGGTCCCCGCACACAGATCTCCCCTCGCGGGTGCGGCCGGTCCGATGACAGGTAGTCCATCTCAGGCACGTCCACCAGCTTCACCTCTGGTACAGTCACACATGCAGCACACGCACTGTCAAAAGGCAGCAGGGGAAAACGGGTTGGGCATCAACTCAAGCGAGATGCAAGGGTGCAGGAAGGGGGAGGTGGGGTCAAGGGGAAGCAGGCAGGAGTGGCGGAAGGAAGGGAGAGGATGTATGGGGTGGTTATGGATGTGAGTCAACGCACCACATGCAGGGTTGGGCGAGCCCACATGGCCTGACATGGTATCATCTTCGTCCACCAGCGATATTGTGCATGTTGTCTCTGTCATACCGTACCCCTCGCACACTCGTGCTCCGAAGCAGCTGCACGGGAAAACGATGTAAACAAGGAGTTGTGCAAAAGCGCTTGTCAATCAGTGTGAGTGAGAATGGAGGGCGGAAGAGGCAGAGGAGGGGGGATGAAAGATGCAAATGCACAAAAGCAAGGCTCAACGTAACATGCCGACGCAGGTGCCCAATCCGTAACAGCAACAAGGAGCTCAGCTCACGTCCAGGCAAGCGGCATTGCTTGCAACGGGTGAGAAGAGAAGAGAACCCTTGGAAGCAGCACTCACGCAACGCAGACTTACATGCGCAGGAAGTCGAGGACCTCAGGGGAGATAGGGGAGGCGCCTGTGATCATGAGGCGCACTCGCCCTCCCAGCCGCGCTTTCACCTTGTTGAACACCAGCCGGTCCCACACCGCTGACGGCGCCTTGCCTGCCGTCCATGCCCCACCATGCCATGCCATGCCATTCCCCACCACACACGTGTTACGTGTATAATCCGGAGAATAGAAGCAGAGTAGGTGTGGCACTACAAACATAGGGAGCACGGTCACATACTGTTTCAAGGGAGAGAGAGAATGGATCATCCACAAAAAAAAACACGGCTCACACAGGGGACAAACTACCTTTCTCGAGCGCGCTCTTCTTGGTGCTGTAGGCGATGTTAAAGAGGTACTCGCGATGAGCGCACTTTGGAGGCGCATCAAAAGCCCCCACAGGGGACACGATACCTTTCTCGAGCGCGCTCTTCTTAGCACTGTAGGCGATGTTAAAGAGGTACTCGCGGATGCCTCCCGAGGAGCGCACGGTGGCGAGAATGCGGTCGTAGATGCGGTTGTACAGCCGCGGCACACTCGCAAACACTGTCGGCCGCAGCACCTCCAGGTCGTCCATCAGCTTCAGCACGTCCTGCTCGGTTGGGCGGGGGAAAAGGGTATTGGCTTTTGAGGTGCCCCAAAAGCAGACCGCAGCACCTCCAGCACGTCCATCAGCTTCAGCACGTCCTGCTCGATTTTCAGGGGAAGAAGGGTATGGGCCGACCGGGGTGAGGGAGGTGACTATTTAGTGGCTGAGACAGGAGTGTCGTGTCAGACCATTTGAGTTATGAGAACAATATGAAAGAGAAATACAGACTGGGGTGGAGTGGAGATTGACTATACTGTAGTGCAAACAAGAGGGAGTGAGAAGGCGAGTGAGTGGGTGAGTTAATGAGAGTGCGTGCAGTTTAACACGTACCCCTTGGTAGAAGCCAATGGCAGCGCCGCAGTGAATGAGCGACTGCATGTTCATGCGCTCGTAGATGTGCGCTAGAGGCAGGTACGACAGGTACCTGTGTGGGAGAGGGGAGCGAATGTAGGCCAAGGAGAGGAGACGGGTATGTTCAGGAGGACAAGGAAGAGGACAGATTTGCGGAGATGCTCATTGCTTCTGCCAATTGCTTGCACCTTGTTCAAATGGAACGAATTCCAATGTTGGTGGTATTCGATACCATGCTCTGTTTAGACCAATACATGTCACACCAAACAGGTCGTGTCGTAAGAGTTGCGAACAGGGGATACCAGAAACGAGATTAAAGTTAGCCATTCATGCACGTACACGTCACCAGGGAAGAGCGTGGCATTGAAAAGTGCGCCTGCAGCACTCGCCACCATTGCTCCTTGTGTTAACATGGCTCCCTGCCACCACCCACCAAAACCCCAGTGCACATACAACAACCATGTGTCAACTTTAAAAATGCAATGGCAAACGTGAACAGCGGCATGAATTTGAAGGAAATGACAGATCTCTTACCTTGGGCACGCCTGTGGTGCCGCTGGTGTAACAAATGCTGCACGTCTCGTCAGGGGAGAGAGGGGCGAAGGGAGGCGGACTGATGCGACCCTGCAAGCATGGGATGGGCGGGTATGAGAAAAGAAACAACAGTTATCAATCAGCTCACTTGTAGCGGCACAGCACACACGGAGCTTCTTCATCTGAGCCAGAGTGAAGGAGAAGATGAGTGAGCTTGTAGTACCTGAGCCTCGAGCTTGGAGTAGTAGAGAAAGGTAACGCCAGGAGGAGGCATGGGCAGCAGATGGTCCGCCTGACCAAGAACCTACACAAGCAGAGTGACACGGACAGAGGAGAC